AATTATTTTGAAAAAAAAAAATGAATGATGCTGGTATCGAACCCAAGCGATCCGCGTGCCAGCCAAGCGCGTTGCCAATTAAACAAGACGCTCATTATGAAAAAATAATTTAATTAGTAGTATATCTTTAATATATTTAATGATTTATCTATTTGAAAGTTGAGAGTTGAGAGTTGTTTCACCGCATAACCCCCAAAAATTAATTTTCATACCAGAAATTGATTTTAAAAATATTGCAAAAAGAAAATTAAAACAATTACCAGTGTATCAATTATTAAAGAGCAAAAATACCATTTTTAAGAGATCAAGAGGAATTATTTATTGCAATCTTCCTGATTTTTATTGTTTTTTGAAGTGTTTGGAAGTATTATAACCTCAAAAATGGAAGGATACACACTGCAATTGGATCCACGTACCGGTAAATACCTGACACTCCACCTGTTCACGAATATTGAGAATAGTAAAGAAATCCGGAAAAAGCTTCAGTCTGGAAAGCTGCAGTGCTGTGTCCTGAAGGCGAGCATGATTGTGGATCCCTTCCAGGTGGTGGTAGCTGCCAACAAAGCTGTCCTCAGACAGCACTCAGGATGTATGATCACAAGGGGAGTCTTCACAGAGATTCTTTACGCTATTTCATCCTCGACGAACATCTCCCAGTCATTGCTGAGGTTCGGGATCGGTGACAGGGATAAGAATATCCTGGTGGCTTTGCTTCACGAGGAGAATGAGAAAGCTCAGCTGGAGGAAGAGATTTTAGGAGAAATAACAGGAGACAGAACATTAATCTCCAGGTTAGGAGAGTTTGTGGATGTCGAACTCGTGAAGAAGACTTATAAAATTGTCGAGGAGGAGCTGAAGGTCTCCAGTCTCGAGGATTCCATCGTCAGTCGAATAGGTAGTGACTATTCAGTTTCCCTGAAGTGATTTTGATCCCAAGGAACGAGGAGAGGTCAGAGGAAAATAAACTGAGTCTGAGATTAAATCGTATTATGCCTTTTATTTATTACCAAATAAATCAAACTGATGTCGATGAGAAGAATCATTCACCCGGACACGATGACATTACAACCAAGAGTATCCCAAACCAGTTTCAGCCCCAGCAAAAGGATAAATAATCTCAGATTCACTTGTATCATCGCCTCGAGGAGTTGGGGACAAATTATGAAAGTACATCCATAATTTTATCCATTTCTCTAACTCCTGTATCACAGTTATCACTTGTTTTCGTTTCATTTTTTAATTGTATGAATAATAGGTGGTTGAAGGTGTCATTCACATCTCATTCAAAATTTTCGGTTTTATTTCTCTCTTAAATATTCAGTTGTAATCAGTCGTAGCTCGGATGTACGTAAAAATTCTAAGAAACGATTCTTCAGCTTTCGTCTCAGAGGAGCATCCTAGAAATTTACAAGGATTTTTTTTTCCGATTTTCATGGATAATTAAAACGAAACAAAATTTTTTCAAAATAACACGAAAATGGGTGCAGAAACGAAATTTTATCTCTAGAATTTCTGAACGGTTTTCTACATAAATAAGGCAGAAGGGTAAAAAATAAACGTTGCATTCACAGTGCTACATGCACTACATCCTGTCAAGCAAAAAAATATAATTAAAAATACACAATCATTTTGAATTTCATTCAATACCATTTAATTCAGTGGACAGATAAATCAGTTGGAAATTAACTCCGAATTTTAGTGAATACTAATCAATCACAAATTTTCAATTGAAAATTTCACTCCCAACATAATCACTAATTCCGGGCTAATTTCAATCAAATTTTCCTGTCTGTGTAAAAAATAAACAAAAAAAAAACCATTCAGGAGGGAAGGAGTAAAGGATACCAAGTCGATTTAGTGATTTTCGAAATTATTCGAAAACGACTTGTTACTCTTCACCGATGCTACTGAATTAAATAAAAGTTAATTATTGGTGAAATACCTTGGCAGGCTGCACATTTCGCAGGTGCCAATCTCAGCGGGATTCAAGAATGTGCAATGGGGACACGTCCAGAGAGGTTGATTGGAGGATGCATTGACATTGGTATCAACCCCAATGCCAACACCAGCGCTGCCAGTGCTAAGTGATCCAGTGGATCTCGAGCCAGGTCCTCCGAAACCAGTTCTCTGCGAGGATATTGGTGAAGACGCAGTGGTGGCAGAAATGAGCTGTTCAACAGTTGCCCAGTGTTCGCTCTTAGCCCACTGGAGTGCCTTCTCCCTGTCGTTGGCTCTAATTGCCTCGAGTAAGTCAGACATGTGCTCCATCATGGGTAGCATGTCCATTGTGGCGATGAACAGGAGCAAATGAAAATCGGAAACAGCTTCCTTGAATTGATCGGAGGTGAACTGCTGCATGTACGTGCACAGAGAGCTGAACTCCTGGACTTGTCCGTCCACCAGTCTGAAATTTTATTGAATAAAATTATTTTATTCCTTTATTTAGGGGAATCGAATGAATAATTTATTGCTTACCGATTTTCCACTGGGAATGGATTAATATTTTCACTAGCATGGAACGTGAATTGGGGTGTCAGAGGTGTGGATGCCGGTACATCGACCAATAAGTACTCAACAGGGAGCGGTCTCGCTAATCTCGACACTTCATTGCCGTATGAATCCTTCTCCTGAAACAGATCAAGTCGTAAAATAGCTAATCGATGGGCACAACGCATTTTCATCAGCGTCGCTGATTTCAATTTCCCGCCTTCTCTCGTAATCTCTTATCGATTCATTTCTGGGGATCCACTGGTAAACGCAGAAGCACTGAGATCTCACCGGAGAAGTCCAATTTACTGAATTACTGTACTCCAATTGGATCATTGAAAAAACGGGACTAGGTAGAGATATTCCATCTTCCTACCATTTTCTATAAATCAATATCGAAGAAATCAAGTTCTACATTTTAGTTCTCAACGATTTCCTCGGGAAAATTCTTCCTCCGTAAAAAGTTTATCAGTATTTCCTTAAAGAAAAAATTCTTCCTCCACGTAAAAATCTTTCACTTTTATAAAAATCCCTTATTCTCGATTCAAAAATTCCCGCCCGGGCGTATCAGTCATCTGATAAGGCGGCAAGATGTAAAATCGACTGTTCCCGGGAAGAAAAAAAATCGCCGAATCAATATGGCATTCCGATAGGGCGTTATTCGTACCGGGGATTGGCCGGAGATAAATAGTCGGTGGATGAGTTGGTTGATAGGGTTAAAATGGCGTCCGCAGGAGGTTGAGAAAAAAAAACCACGGAGAGGGGGTGAGAGAGAGAGGAGTGGGAAGTGTAGGAAGCAACAGCGTTTGCTGGGAGGAGGTGGAGGAGGTGGAGGAGGTGGAGGAGGTGGAGGAGGTAAAGGAGATGGAGGAAGTGGAAGAGGTGGAAGAGGTGAAAGAGGTGGAAGAGGTGGAAGAGGTGGAAGAGGTGGAAGTGATGGAGGAGTCGGTGGACGTTGAGCAGCGCCAGCGCGTTGTGGTGTGGTGTTTCGGTCGGTAGTGGTCGTCGGCTCGGGATTTGCCCCCTCGCCGCCATGCCAGTGGTTAGTGTAGTCAACCAAACATCATGATGTGGCAATACGTTAGCGCTGTCTCAATGAAATAAAAAAAGAAAATAATAAGGCAATCCCAATGAAAACCGCCAAGAGTGAATATCACACCATACAACAATATCAACAATAAATAACGAAATCCCCGAGTCCCATCACTACGTCGTGACACAGTGCTGCGCGTGATATTTTTTTTTTTATTAAAAAAAATCTAAACTCCACTCGGTGAAATTCGTGAATTGACAAAACACCGACTGGTGTCCAAGTGCCGACTCGGTGCAGGTGTAAATACGCAACGATAAAATACCAGAAATATCGATATTATCAGCGAACATACTGCGGATAATTGCCGGTGGTACAATGTCACATGGAGTTGTGGATTATTGGAACTCTTTGAGACGATAAAAAGGGATAAAATCTGGTATATTGTGGGGTGAGAGAGTGGTTGGTGCGGGTGGGATTCTCCTCTCCTCTCGCACCACAAGGAATTATCCATTGCGACTAGACTGGGATCATCCTGGTTATCGCATCCATCACGACACGGTACGGTTTTCACCTCAATATTTATCTGCATCTTTATTATATTGCTGGGATAGATTATTGCAATAAATGCGCGGGAATTCGATGAAGGTGATGTGGTACCACTCCTCGAGGCGTAACGCGGCTACCGGCAAATCTTTTTCCCCCTCTAATTCTCGTGCATGTGGGTTATTTGCACTGCTGTGTGTTGTTGGGCAAAAGCGCGGGTAATCCATGCACTGCATTAAATATTTCTATATTTCAAAAACGCCTCAACTATCAGATAAATTCGATAAATCGAAACGCCCATTACTGGGTAATTCATTGTAATGGATTTTACAAAGTCACGAGACCTCACAGTCAGCATCCTCTGAATATTTAACCATCTCTATTCGCTGCAACTTGATGACCCAATTAAAGCCGAATAAAAAATTGCTTTTCAATCTACTAATAATTCACACTACCCAATAATTGACTCGTCCTTCATAATTAGAATAATCTGGTCTGTCAGTTGACTGTAATTGTTTAGTTTTTTTTCCTTGAGTAGTGGAATAATGGAGAGTTGGATTTCAGGGATAATTCTGTCTCTTTTCGGATTGCAGTTTTAATAATTATTTTTTGATGAGAGTGGGTATATGAACCGCCTGTGAACCGCCCCCTTCCCATTTCCCTGCACATCCGCCTGATATTAACGGGCCTGGATTTTGGCGGGCTTTCGAACGCACGCGCGCTCTCAGCGTTATTTAATAATCTGTTTTAATTCCCGTGTTTTAATTGATTGGCGTCTAAAAAAACGGATATTACAGTTTTAAATAGAAGATTGGTGGATTGACGTTGAGTTAATTTAACAGATGCTGGATCCAAGTGTCCTCACAGATCTCGAGGAATTGACTCTGTGTGGCTACTGCAAGCTCAAGTACAACGACGACGATCAATGTCCAAAATACTTGAGCTGCAAGCACTACTTCTGCTTGCGCTGCATAGAGAACAATTTACTCAAGGGACGTGAATTATTCTGCGCCCATTGCTGGAAGAGAACTGATCTTGGTGAGCAGGGACCCGATGCACTACCCACAAATTCACCCCTTTTAGCACTGGCCAATAATTTTTCCTACCTCAAGAGAACCAGCAATGGTACGACACCTAAACCAGCCGATAAAGAGAGAAAGGTAATTAGTTATTTGAGTCTGCATTACATCGAAGTGCACGACAAAGTGCGAATCCGTAGCACTGTTGCAAGCCGATTGTGACGTAAAATTGTTGAGTCTCTAGAGATATTTTAATTAATTGTGTGATTTTAGAGCGAAAATTGTCACACACATGGCATGCCCCTTGCCCTCTGGTGCACAACGTGTTGCACACCGTTGTGTCGAGCTTGCGCAACACCACAGGATCATCCTGGTCATCAGATCAAGACTCAGACAGATGCCAAAGAACAACTTATGTCCGACGTTAGTATTTTTTTATATCGATATTGAAGATTATGAGATTTCAATAAAGATTTCATTGTAATTCATTAAAAAAATTATTCAAGTATTTTTCTGATTTTTAATCAAATCAATTTTAATTTGATTTGATTAATTTTTAAAATGAATTAACGTGATTATTCCCTTCTGAAAGGTTCAACTGGAACTGGTAACAATGGGCAAATTATCCACGGAGATCCAGCGCCTAGCAATGCAGCAACGTGACTTCCTGATAAAAGTCCTGGAGGCATGCGTTACCCTAAAAACCCACGTGGAAACAGACCTGCAGAATGGCTGGACACACTTGCCGGAGATATCAGACGCACGTGAGACCTTGGGGAAGGCGAAGGCGAGTCTGCAGGTGAGTGACAGCCCCTCAGACATCTCAACTCTGCACGCGCAGTTGGCCCTCGAGAAACAACGCCTCCAGTCAAAATACCAGGAGATGATGCTGCAGTGTCAACTAGACGATTTAATCGGTAACTCAGGCGTGATCTTTGACTTTGCCCTGCTTAAACAGGCACTCGCTGGAATTCACTCGGGCGAGCAGATCCTCCCTGGGGGAAATGGCAGACTCCCCAACATAACAGCAAGCCAAAATCCAATTCTCTTCCTGGCAAACTACTGCATGTCCCAACTGTACTCTCGTCACATGGTGAACAAGCAGCACCTGCATAATGGCTCGATAGATTATCACCAAGTGAGCATGATGCCTCCAGGGTCGATCCAGATTCATCCAGTGCCCCAGGCTCCCCATAATCAACTTCTCATTCAACCTGGCTCACCCTCATTAAAAACCGTGCCAGTACCAAACTCAATACTTCAGCCTCAGTCTGGATTCATCCAAGATACTAACTCAGGCAATCCTCCCCTCGTCTCAGTCCTTTCTCCCACTCAATCGAACAACAACAACATCACTCTTCGACCCCCTCATCCCTATCCCATGTACTACTTCAACATCGAGGTGAATGGCTCACCCCACGGTAGAATAGTCATCGAAGTTCGCCCAGATGCTGCACCTAAGATGGCTAAGAACTTCAGTGTCCTAGCCACTGGTGAAATTGGGGTTGGCTACAAGGGCTGCTCTATCTTTCAGTGCTGGGAGGGTGAGTCGGTCATCACTGGAGATTTTGAATTGAACAATGGAAGGGGGGGAAGGAGCATCTTCGAGGATGGCTACTTCATGCCCGATGACACCAAATTTCCAGCTGTCAGGGGCGCTGTGGGCATGCGACGTACCCAGAAGCGTCATGACAATATGGGAATGGTGGGCTCTCAGTTCAGAATTATTCTCCAGGAGATGAGGGGCTTCACTGCTATTTTTGGACACGTCATCGAAGGACTGGAGTTGATTGAGAAAATTTCCACGTACGGCGATCAGACTGGCAAGCCAACTAAGAACATTTTGATCACCAAGTGTGGAAAATTGTAACGTTCGATTTGTTGTTGTGATTCATGTTACGCTGATGATCTCTGTGAGCTTTTATCGTGAGGTTTTTTCGGGGGGCAAGATGGGTTAATATGAGCTAGCATTGTTTATGATTCGATGGTGGGCTTTAAGATTTATGGAATGTTGAAATCTATTTTTAAAAATTGATAATTTATGAGAGAAGACTATGAAGATGCGAATATTTAAAACTGTATTTTGCTAATAACGATGGAATTTTGAGACGGAGTACTCCAGGATTGTTTTAGATGACTTGATCGACACAATATGTACCTCAGAATCGATCGTATATCGATTTCTAAACTCTTAGATGTATGATAATCGTGTTATTCGAGTTTATATATTTTTGTTTGAGTGCTAAACGAAGATCACTGGATTGATTTTTACGAATGGAGAAGCAAGTTAGAGAATTTTGAAGATGTTTTGTGAGATTCAACAATTGAGAGTAATCATGAATGTGAAATTCGTGCATTGCACAAAGAAGGATATATCGATGAATATAAAATATATTTTTAGTCAGAGGACTCTACATGTGTGTTTAACTCGCTGAATGACTCTTCCATCAGCAAATGAATGTGAATAATCGTGTAATACGTGTAGCTTGCTTGAAAAATTCATCCAGTAATGGATAATCTATGACTGATAATGTGTAGACCATTGATTTATGGTTTTGTCAATGTGGTGTTGATCAGTGGATTATCCACCACAACGGAAGCAAAAAAGAACAGGAGCAAAAGAGAATCGCGATTAATTCTCGGCCCTCATCAATCGACGAGCAAAGTCGAAAGAAAAATTGAATAAGTAATGTCGCTCTTGCTCCACTTTTTTGTCTCGTCCAGTCACAGCCGAGGCCCATGGTAATTTTAATTATATTCAATAATAGCTGATTCTTAACTGTGCAAAAATATGTGAGGCCTAATTCAAGCGTAGATCGCGAGAATGCACCTCGACAATTTCCAACCGATCTCCGGAGAGAAATTTATAGGACCAATTGCTTCTAAAGTCTAGTGATCTCTAGCTCACTGAATATTGGACATTTTCAATATTAACCAGTGAAAAAAAAATGCAAAACCAGTGCACTTGATGATCACTAGGATTTCCCTCCGTCTGATAGATAAATGAATCGAAAAAAGAGAGGGAACTAGTAAATTATATCTCCGAATGTTCGGACACTTCAGAATATGTGATTTCGATATTTCTTTGAAAACTGGAGGATATAAAATAAAGTGAACTATTTTGAAATCTATATCGATCTATAAAAGATCAAATCGTTCGTTACATTACCCGATAAGATGTAAACACGAATACTCGCGCGTTCGTTGAAGTATAAATATTAAATGTACGTGACATAACAATGCACTGAGTGATGAAAAAAAAATGGAGCGAATCGGCAGAATTGTTCTGCATCCAACTCCATGAAAAGCATCTCCCACACGAGTATAAAAAAATAACTAGAAACAAGGAGTTTAAATATTCACGGCACGTCGTCAGCGTATGCCTTCTACGACGATATTTCACTCCCCGTTGAATTCAAAAGTTTCAGAACAAAACTTGTTAATTAAATGGTAAATGTGCTAAACAAGTGGGGGACAGCTAGTTGAATCGACGAAAAATTAATCGAAAATCCTCAAAAACTGCAATTAACGATGAAAAACTAATTTTCGATAAAATGATAGTGCAGATTAGACGTAAGTGCAGACGAAAAGACGATGGCGTCTATCGTAATTAGAATATTAAGAGTATAAAAGTGAAATTTATTCCAAAGCGAGCGAGACGATATGTACAATTATATTTTTCGAGCTCCGACGTATAGCACCAGCGCCAAAAAAAAAAAATTGATATCGAGATAAATATATTACGATCCCATTGGGAATGGCGTGTTCTCCCACCTGTATATAGATATATTTTTATGAAAGATACGAGGCAACGAGTAGCTTAGAAAATACAGTGGAATGTCTAGCTCTCGTCCTCTTAAACGAAATAGAACAGTAAATGGAAACGAAAAAAACTAAATGTGCGAAGTTATTCCCTAGTTTATCTGCATTTTTTCACAACTGTTGCGTTAGTAACTTGAGTTATTGTGTTATTTTATAAACGGACCTACACGTACTTTTGTTGATCTACTTTATGGGCATAAAATAATCGTATTCGATGTACTTGAAAGAAAAAAATGTCGATTCAGAAACCTGTCGATTTTGGTTGATAAACTACTTGGTTTTGTTCAATGTCTGTTTTATTCGATCCTAAAGGTAATCCAATAGCTGGGAAAAATCTAAATGATGACTGGTGATTTTTACTTACTTTGTAGTAAACGTCTGGCACGTACTGCTTGTCCGTCGATTCAATAACATATCCCAGCTCTGGGGCGTCTTTTGTTGGCACCAGACATCCGTCGCGAACGAGGGCCATGCACTGATTTGACACCTGATAACCCTCCATGTGTACTTGGTTCTTGTCGTCACCTGAAAATCAATGCCATGAAAAGTTATTCTTCCACTCCTCCACTCCACAAAAGATATTTCATTAATCTCGAGAAAATCAGGGAATTTTTTTTCATTCAGTTCAATTAACAGATGTAATTACAAGAAATATTTTAATCCATAAAACGAATTATCGTGATTTAACGGATTATTAATAAATTCAAAGATATGTAGTAGTTTTACGGAAATAATATTTACCCGTAACGCAAACAGTGACGAATTTAGATCCAAATGCTCCGCTCGGTGAGAAACGACAGGGATTAGGATGTTGATTCTGCGAGTGGCCAGCCATGATGCACTCTTGAGCAGTGAGAAAATGACTCTCAATATTCCTAACATGTTTGACAGTGCCCTTCTTCACATCGTCAGCGATCAAGTCAGTGAAGATCCATCCAACTCTCCTCAGATCTAATTTGCGAGCCAGTTCCTCGACGAGGGAGTCTCTCTCGTCAGGGAGAAGTACGATTGAATCCCTCGTGCTCTCCTGCGGGGGCTCGTAGATGGCTGCCACCACAGCTCTTATCCCAAGTGGTACGTCCGAGTGAATCTCATACCTTCCATAGAGATATCCCAGACGCTGATGCCCAGTACTTCGCCAGTAGTTGAGAAAACGCTCGACTAAACTTGCATTCTCGAAAACAACATTGTCGATGTGACGATAAGGCTGACGATTGAGCGTTATTGCTTTTGGTTGGCATTTGCTACAGATACCACGTGGCCAGGGGGGATGATCCTTGCAGCCCCTCTTTATACGACAGCTAATGTCTTCTAATTGTAGGAATTTTCCTCTGAAAATTTATTCGATTGGAAAAATCAGACAATGAGTCGCAAAAAATATTCATTGTGTAATTATTTTGAAATTTTAAATAACCTATCGACTCCGGCAGTGAGTTTCCTGAGATAAGAGTGAAAAGACAAATGTTTGATGTTCTGTTCTTTCAGATAAGTCTCATCAAAGGGTTCCAATGGAGAGCAGTGAACGCAACATCCGAAAGCACCGTGCCTGCACCTGAACCAAAAAAATAAAGATAAATAATAAAAAGGGTAATCAATCACTGAAAAAAATCCGCAGATCGAAAAAAACGAACAATTTTTCATCACGTTTCCCTTGAATCTTGCCATCCATTTTCCACAGCTGCTGATCGACCTCGTCCTCGTCGACATTCGCGAGAGATCGAGCTGTTACAGAGGATCGTCCACTGGAGCTTCGACTAGTGCTGGGAGTTACTTCCATGGGTGTTACATCAGAGCTGCCAGTGGAATTTTGAGCTGAAGTATTGCTAGATGAATTGTTCCACAGGAAAGCACCATTCAGAGGGGCCAGATAGAGCATATCCCCATGCCCCAGACCGCATGCAGCTATCGATTTGCTCCGAGACGAGAAAATCTCATTCTTGTGATTTCTCTCTTTGTAGAGGCTGAAGCCAAAACTGGTCAGCTGGAACGCTTCATGTACCTGGACAAAGCGATTAATCACCGAATGATAAAAAAGTCACAACCACAGCATGAATCCATAAATGAATAAATCCAAATGAAATGATCCTATTTATTTCTGAAATAACGAAATAAAATCCGATCAATCACCTTTTCATAGAGCATCGAGACATTGTCTGTAGGATTGACGTCAATCCTTTTCGTTCCCTCTGGTGACTGGACTCTGAGTGTCTGGAACAGAGTTAAAAATCGTATAAATCCTCGAATCGTTACAAGATATACCTCAATCACCAGTTAAACCGATAAAACCGAATAAACCAAGTGGCGTCCCGTTAGCTACATCGCGTACGTTTCTACAGCAACGGGAGTCACTTCAACCTAGACGCGTGTCCTCTGGTAAACAATCATTAAGGAGTTATAAAATCCGAGTGATCACCCTGAAATCTTCCCATGCACCAGTGCCTCCCATGAAAATCGAATCCAAATCAATCTCTAATGGTTCCAACGATAATTTAACTTACAATTTCCCTTGATTTTGACATTTCGCCGGTGGCTGTGTAGCATCAGCTGTTTTCGGATCCCTGTCCCGCTTGTCTGGGGATCTACTCCAACAGAATATCCACAAAATCCCTAGAAGGTTGTATTTACCGATAGCAAAAAAATTAACCGAACAAGCACAATGACAATTTATGCCGAGTCAACTCCTGGGCTACCTAACCTCCGATAAAGGTGACGTTATGAGTCAATTATTTCGGCTTGACTGGATCAATTCTTCCGTTAGATTTTCAAATCTTCATCTGGAATTCCAGGATTGAGTGGTATTAACTTGTCGATGTGTCGAGTGATAGATCCAAATTGATAATCACTGAAGTGTCACGGTTATTCGTGAATTTTCGGAGCACGATAACACCAGAGCGTTTCTTTCTGTCACGTTTGATGCACACAGTCGCATCTACACGTCAGTCCTGGGAACTAGGAGTGAGACTGTGTGATACACCACCACAGGGATAGGCACAGTGAGTAAGCAAAATGAATTGCGAGCTTCTCAATCTTTGAGGCTTTTTGTGTCTTGCCCGGGCGATATTTGCGCTGTTCAATTTATCGTCACACTTGGTTCAATCATTTTTCCTCATTTCTATCATTTTTTAAAATGACTATTAATGACTCTCTGTCAAGCTGGCGAAAGCTCAAGCTCGATAAATTTTGGGACTAACGATAATTTTTTGCATTAATTAATATTTGAGAAAATGATATTATACAATTTCACTGGATCTCAGTTTAAAGATACGAATGTCGTACAAATGAATGCAAATGAGAATTATAAAAAATTATTTTTGTATGACTCAATCCCCAGGCTATTATTAATATTTATACGTAATTTGATTGACAGAAAATCAAATCTATATGAAATTTCCAGGTTTTTCCTTGAGACAGTCTCTCCGTGTAGTTCTAATTCCACGGACTTCAAAAAAATTTGCAATCCAACTTCAGAAGGAAGCGGAAGTCTTTGAATTTCCATTTCTCCAGCTTGAGAATTGTCACCCCCATTAATTAAATGTTGGTTGACCTGGTTGGCTGGTTGTCGGCATTATCTCATCTCTCTGTGAATTTAAATCACATGGCGAGAACCAGAACGAGTTGACCCTCTTTTCGTACGTGTCTTCTCAATATTTCGTTAAAACCTCAACGTGCCAAGATGTTGCTACCGCCCTCTCCATTTTTCTAGCCATCCTTATCCCACTTGGTACCCTCTTCCTACTTGAATTTGTCTGGTCTCTCACACGAGATTGTCCCGCTGCTAGTTGTAGTTGTGAAATATTCGTCGGAGACGCGTGGTGGATGCATTTGCCAGGCAGTCTACCTAGCGACACTGCCGAGGGCATTTTACCCCGTTCCGGAAAGACTTCCGGTCCACAGTGAATATATTCTGTTTAAAAAATTCAGTGGTAACAGCTAATTCATTGTCTCCAGGATTAAAAGCTTGTCAATCCTCGAGTCTGTCGGTTGATCCCCAGGGGATCACTCAGGTGCGTCTGCCCAACTCATTCAAATAACAAACCGGAAACTTTACTGCCTGATTCACCGGGTCAACCCTTTCGAAATAAACTCATCGATGCAGATAACGTCGATCGCTGCTCGATCAATTCCTCTTGCGCCCACACATCTACTAATTCCCTGACGTGAATCACCAGCCGCTAATTACTCATTAGCATCTGCGATTCACATCGAGAACTCGGGACAGATCGAGTGGTTCTAGTTAAATATTTTGCAATCATGTATCGGTATATTTCGAGAGTTCATCGGGGAACATTCGTGAGTATTTTATCCTGGGAAGGAGGAAATTCGTTGTTTCGGTATTTTGGCGGTGGTCCAGGTGCCAATATTAAGCCTTAGAATCCTTGAAGTACTTGAAGAATTATTTTGAAACCCCTTGGGTCGCGATTTCTTCAAGTATTTGAATCGAAAAATGGGATTCTGAACGTTTCGAGGAGTTCATTAAATTATGGAATGAAATCGCATGGATTAAACAGTCGAATTGAATTTTTTTTTTTATTTCAGTTAGGCGCGATGGAAGAGGCTGACGAAATGGGCACCAAAGTAGAATTATATGTCTACGATCTGACGAAGGGAATGGCAGCAATGATGTCGCAGATTCTCATAGGTAAACGTCACTGGAATTCCAAACATCATTCAGAGAAACAAATAAAATCGTTGTACGTCACAAATACGTCCAGCGACGAATAGAGCGTCTGGATTTTTTTTATTCGAAAAAAATAAATCGAGTCCCACGCGAATTCTCGAAGCATCCACTGGCAAAAAATTATTTCCATCAATGAAATTCATCTTGCCAAACAAATTAGTCAAACACCAATTTAAATGAAGATATTTTATGTATTTTGTTGTCACGAGTATATTTATTCGATAATAAATAATAAGTATTTAATCAATTCTGTAAAAATGAATGCTAAAGTCTCGAGGGAATATTTAAGCGCGGATTCGTGGATTGTGCGGTTTGGGCTAATGATTTTTATAAAAGGAAGACGTTTAAACTCCATTGGATGAAAATGGAGCAATTGAATTTTTTTGATGAGATGAAGGCATTCGCTTTTTTTTTTTGGTTTCGTAGACTATCTAGTACTAGAGCAGTGGAGTGTCAGAGGATGACAGTGCCAAATGCAGTAACTCCGAGAATATAAATTGGCCGAAAATTCAACGATATTCTTGTGTCTTTTGTCTGAGCGATATGAGTTAATAATAAACTGTGAGATATATTTGTATATAACACACGAATGATTCCACGTTTTATTCCAGTCGAACAACGACACTCGCTCTTTAACACGAGGTAAACAGACAATTTACTCACAACGCAATGAATTATTTATACGCGAAAAAGCTTGGCATGCAGAATAGCGGAAGCTAACGCGCTGAAATCACAAGAATGAGATGTAAAAATAATATTCATATTCATGGTTCATTACGCGAGGGAATAAAATGAGGGGGGTAAGAGGAAATTCTGATCTATTTTTGGAGATTACGGTCAATCCGATGGCCATCCTTGAGACTCATTAGTGGGATTTCTCGGTCTGAGGATCTCTGAGGTTCCTGACCCCTCTCAGCTGGGGCCCCAGGGATAGGCCAATTTGGCTTACCAAGAAAATCATACCAGAATAGAAGACAAACTTGTGTGACGCTGTCAGGAATGAAAAAGAATATTGAAGAAATGGGATTAGTGACTCACGGAAGTGTTTTCTATTTTTGATAAATGTGGGTCAAATACTTGGATTTTGCATATTGTCGGGTTTTCGCGCGGTTTCGTTGAATCTTCACGGTTTTCAGGTGAATACATATTTTTATGGCCACTGGCTATTGCTGAATATCAAAGTGATATTCATCAATCAAAATCCATTAATTTCCTCCATTCGTTTTTTTTTTCATGAAAAAATTTTTGAACGTAAATGAAAATAGATTCAATTTAGATGACAGGTTTTTTTTCTCCATGAATTATTGATCTCTTATGGATTTTTTCACTTTACTACAGCTTTCTCGGAATCGTAATGAATTTTTTTTATATTGTTTTCCTAGAAATGGATTTTACAGTGATGATTAATTGCTCCCTGCAGCTTAAAGAATTTCAAGGAATTATTTTCTAGGCGTGAATGTCGAAAATTGAAAAATTCTTGAAAAGAACTTTAAGAAAATATTTTTTACTGCGCGTTAATAGACAGTAATGGAGTAGATTGACGCCTGCAAATCTCCGACCGTCCGAAGCTGTAAAAACTGAGTAAAAATTCAATGCAGTGAATTATGTCGATTTAACGAATGATTTCGTGAGTCAATGACGACATCCCAGGAGGATATGATGTAAAAATTTGATAATTCTGTAAATTCCTTCGGTAGGTCGTCACCTGGAAGGAGTTTGGCACACAGCAGTGGTGGCATACGGTCGAGAGTACTTCTTCGGTCCCTCGGGAATTCAGAGTGTCAGACCCGTAAGTAGAGCCTCTGAAAATTCCCCCAAATTGATCAGGTTTAACGACCCCCGAGGTGTTGACATCCCGAGCCACGTGAAGACGATGTAAAAAACAAATCTACACGTCCCTTCAATCCTCCACGAGATTCTCCCTCTTACCTCCCAAAATTACTCCCCAGTAACATCACCGGCCATACGATACGCTCTCGGTCAGACGACGTTGTACTAAATTTGGTCTGGGTGCAATCTAAATATACCCCACCACCAGGCCCGGGTACACTCATGCTCATCATCGTCTCGGGTGGAACGTCTTAGCGTTTAGAAAAGCCTGCCGGTAAGTTCCCTCAAGCTAGTTATCCTCGTTGAACCTCGAATCCCTCCTTGCTGGTGTTCCTGACTTGCCATCACCAAGTGCATATCATAACTCGTGTCTCACGCCTCATAACAATCAGATTAAACAACAAATGTCACTATTTTCATCAGTGAAGTGCCAGTGTATTCCGCATATTGACTTCACTTTAACTTTCTCCCTTGGAATTACGTGACATTCAGTTATGAAAATAAATCGACGAGTGAGAAAAATATTCAGATTCTTCGTACATCCAAAAAACTGGAAAAATAATGAGACACTTTTCCGTCGATAAAAATAAATCTTAAGTTGCGTTGGAAAATAAATATTGCGAAATATCCCGCACTCGGTTTTTCTACTTCCGCTCCAGAATTAGATCCAATGGATGGTAAACTCCATTGAAATCTGTAACCAATTCTCAATCTTATTACTTCCAGGGAGGAACAGTCCTGGGTGAGCCAGAGCGAGTCGAGAAGCTCGGCGATACATTTCTTCCTTATTCAGTGTTCCTGGAGTACATAAACGGACTCGGTACCTCCAAATTTGCGTGAGTTACTCCAATCGAATATAATTTGTATGAATAATAAATTGATAATTTCGTTTTATCAGAGATTATTCATTCCCATTTTTTCTTGAATGTCACAATTTACACCTACATGATCCGAAAATGAGCCCTGAATCATAAATTCCCCCCAGAACTGGCGCGTACCATCTCATTCGGCTGAACTGCAACAATTTCTCGGACGAAGTAAGCAGCTTCCTCGTGGGTAGCGGTATTCCAAAATACATTTTGGACTTGCCAGAGGAAATTCTGAAGACGTGAGTATTCAATTCAACAGGAAAACATGTTTACTCATAATTTATTAATAATGATTTTGTCATACAGACCGGTGGGACAAGCGTTGGCACCGCTCATTGAGTCTCTGGCGAGTCAATCTAGTGCGGGTTTTACGGTTGGACAGAGATTCGTTGAACCCAGGATACAGCGGGAGGCATCACCGGAGTATCAACTGCTGAATAGTGAAATTGAAGAGGCCAGGTTAAATTCAATTGCTTTGGAAGAGAGGCGAAACGTACTCAACGAAAAATTAGCCAAGAAGGAGCGTAAGAAGAAAAAAAAGAAGAAGGAAAAGAGGGATAAGGCATTGAGAGAGCCCAGTGGAAGTGAGTGCAATAGTACAGGTACTAGTAATTGTGCAACGATGGCTGACAGTGAAGGTGAGCAATTTTTTTTCAATTAATGAATGGAGGAATTGAGAGTTTTATTTCATGAATGGTGATTTTATGATGCAGTAGCTGAGATGCAACCGACAAATGGAGACTTGGGAGCAGAAATGTTGCCTTCAGAACGAGCTCTCGAGATGGAAGCAGCAGAAAGAAGAGAAATGGAGGAGAGAAAACGCCAGAGGGATCCTCCAATTGTATTCAAAGATCAGATAGATGTTGGTGCTGAATTCGAGGCTCTCGTTAGCCTGTTGGAGGGAAAATTGAATGAAACTGAACAGGCCAATCTCGAAGAGCTTCGTCAGTATGTCCTTGAGAACGAGGGGTCCTGGGCACTGGGGGATAATTTCCTCAATTTTGTTGGTGAGTAGTTGAATTATTTAATTATTGGAGGGGAAATATCTCTTTTTTTTATTGAATTTCAGGACGGATTTTGTACGATAAATCATTGGACAGCGCTGCAAGGGTCAGACTACTGAACATCCTCAGTGTTGCGGCCCTGAAAGACGATGTGATTCTCCTACTCCATCAGGACAGAAGAGAACACATTATTATGAACTTCGCGTATGATATCGATCGTCATCCAGTCGAGGAACAACTTCCTCTCGCACAATTCGTAAGGGAACTCTCAATTTTTTTTTATTAAAATTAAAAAAATGCAAATGAATTAATTTGAAGGAAATGCTTGTGTCTCCTCGCAGATGGCGAACATGTTCGAGAACCTGAGCAGTTCCGAATGGCTTCTGTACATCTCAGAGTGGCAACACAACAATCAGGGAATTAGTAACATCAGAGTAACTACAAAAGTCTCAGTGCACTCTCTGCTGTCGGAGAATGTGGAACTTCAAGCTCGTGGCACAGCAATAATCCACAACCTCGCCTGCAAGGAGGTAAAAACTGTGGTCTGTATCCTTCTGGCTTCTAACTTATTCCACAATTCACGATAGATTAATAACTCGAGTTGTCTCATTGCATTAAACCTCGCCGATAACCGATGTCTAACGTTATCCAAACAGAAGTGCTGCCTTCAGAGTCGTAAACAAGTTGTCTATGTAAACAGACAAAATAAATAAGAGCAGATGAGAACGTTTACGTTGTCGCTGAATGTAAAATGCTTATTGATTGACGATACGATGAGACAGTTGGATGGATTGTTTTGTAGGGATTGGATATATTTTTTCAGAAAATGAACAAAAACAAAGCCCTCCGGCAACTCTTACCCAAAGGCAGCTCTTCTAAGGTACCTATCCCAGTTACTTTTCCCTTTGTATTCGTCTGCGAGAGGTGAGTCGACGAAAGACATCGATCAGTCATTAACTTCATGGAGGAGTCTCTAAACCCGTCATCTATTTTTATTTCGTTGTCATCTAGTATCAATTCATCAAATCTACTTGATAATTTTCATAGATAAAACTAGCGCACTCGTTTGAAGAATCTTACTGGACTTGACGGAGAGATCTGTTTGTTTTTTCTCATTTCTATGGAATTTAATTTCTCCATAAAATATTTAAATGAATTTCCTGAATTCGTCTGCAAATATGAATGAATAAATTTATTTAAAAAAAAATACAAATGCAAGTGGTTTTGAAGAAATGAGAACAAATAGAATTTCCAATAGAGATCGAACGATTTTCCAGCGAATCGGCTAGAGTTCTCCATGAAAATTGTCTCCAGGTAGAGAAAAACCAAAGAAATCCTTGAATTCTCCAGGTGTTTGACGACGTAGCAGTGGAGCTGACGATGGCCTTACTCCAGTACTTCAACGGAAGTCCCCCTGAGGATCAGCTGTTCGCGTGCTTGAAGGCGCTGGCCCGTTTCACCCAAATAAGTGGCCAGGAGGTGCCACAGCTCATCCAGATGATCGGCCCTGAGCCCAACAAATTTCGAGGGGCATCACAACGAGTCGACGAGATGATCGACCAAGTGAACAAGAAACTCCGTTGATTTCTCTCATCAATCAATTTTTTATAGGATTTTTATTCATTATTTATTGAATAACGAGCCCGTGCTCACAATAATTTTGATGTTTTTTTTATTTGCAATTTTTATGGCTGAAAAAATTGAAAATTTCGGACAAACGGAAGCAAATACTACGGTATTTGAATAATCAGGTGGATATTTGATGTAATCGATCGTTAATTATGTACAGAAAATATAACAGTGATTAATATATTATTTGTTAGAAATAGACACATGAGAATAGATCCTCATTTATTACGATCCCATTCTCCAAGTGGCAATTTTTCCATTTGCCGCTGTATGATGATGAAGTAGGACGTACACGTGTTGAATACATGTGTAATTGAGGCATATGAGGTGATTCTGGGCTTCAACTGTTCGTAAATGTTTCTAACGAGGTCTTGCACCGAGCAGAGGGATTTTCGCCTCGAGTTTATGGATAAGTCTGGACGTTATCATGGTCGAGGCCTCCGGTTTTTCATAGGAACAAGGAGTTATTTTATCACACGTAGAATCCACACGAATGCGTCTAATGGATTTATAATTCCCATTGTCTTATTTACATCGAGCTCACCGGGAGAGACACATTGAGATAATGAGAATGGGTTTATTTGTAATCATTGTTTGATATTTAATCGCGTCAGTCCTACGTTGCTACCGCATTGTGCTCCAACGTTGGGGAAATTATCATTAATTAGTAAGTGGTGATAATTAATTCAGAGTCGTCGGTGGTATTTTATATTCAAGTGTGATCTGGATGTAGAAATGATACGTGTAATTAAAAAGAATAACCGGAACAATTGGAAAAGAATATTCAGAAGGTGGAGAAGGCATTAAAGATTCAGTGTCATCACACGGAAATTTCCATATTTTCTCAAAAAGAAATTATCATTCCACGATTTTTATCTTCTCCTGGAGACGACGAGATGCTTCATTGATAACGGTTGCGCATTTCCTCATCCACTTAATAAATCGTCGGAAAAAGTATTCGTTGCAGTGGAATCGAAAAGTGTGTAAATTATGGAGAATGGAGAAAGAAAGGCAATTCGCAAGAAGAATGCTAAATTCTATCTCAATAAATACGTTCCTGTAACGAGATGGCTTCCAAAATACTCGAGGTTCTACGCAGTTTCTGACCTCATTGCAGGGATTACCCTGGGCCTTACGATGATTCCCCAGAGTATTGCATACGCTGGATTGGCGCATTTGACTCCACAGGTAATTTTTTTCATCCACAACTCCTGGAAAATTGGATAGGAACAAATTGATTTATTATTTACCTATTAGCTACTTGATATCAATTATTTTATCCTCCAGTATGGTTTATATTCCTCATTCATCGGTGGATTCGTTTACATTTTCTTCGGTACAATCAAGGAAGTTTCGATAGGGGCAACATCCCTGATGGCCCTCGTCACCGCTGAATTCACCAGCACGAAAAATCCCGATTTCGTTGTTTTACTCTGTTTTCTGGCAGGTTGCGCCGAGTTTTGCATGGGAATTTTCAATCTAGGCAGGTACCCCCAAAGAATCGTTGTAAATAAATCAGTGGGGCCGTTTTGAACGAGACGTGAAATTGTTTTAGGCTTTTTGGTCGATTTTATATCGATCCCAGTGACATCCGGCTTCACCTCAGCCACATCCATCATAATCGTCATCTCTCAGCTGCCAGGATTGGTCGGTGTCAAGATTAAATCGGAGAGCATTATCCAGATACTCGTACAACTGTTTGAAAAACGATCACTCATTCGGTGGAACGATACTGCACTGGGTATATCGTGCCTCGTATTTCTATTCGTATTTCGTGTGAGTCTCATTCGATGAAAATATTCGGGAGATTAATCATTATTTGATGAAGATAAAATTGATAAATCCTTTATTTTTAGAAACTGAAGGATATACCCTGCCATGGAATCAAGCGTCGAAATGAATCAGTGGGTGTTGTGCTAGAAAAAAGTCTCTGGTTTCTCTCAATCTCTCGCAATGCTCTCATCGTTTTTATCACGTCTACTATCACCTTCAGATATCATCAGGATGGTGAAGATGTATTTAAGACTGCAGCGACCGTGAGACCAGGTCTCCCAGAATTTTCTCCACCTCCTTTCTCGACTCAACACGAAAATGTCACGTATTCCTTCACTGAAATGTGCTCGCACCTCGGCTCAGGGATTATCATGATTCCGCTCATCGCTGTTTTGGCTAATGTTGCGATAGCCAAAGCTTTTGGTGAGTTCGAGGATCTCTCATTGGAGCATTCGTCGAGATTTATTAAGCCTTCGAAGTAATTAAACTAAAATGTTCTAACTCACACATTTTCCCACGAGTTCATGAATTATTGAGATTTTTACTGGCAAGTTCAGCAAAAAATATTGAGCGGTGAGGGGATTGATTTTAATTTTCCATGAAATTCCAGTGCGAGATGGGCCTGTGGAGGCGACCCAGGAGATGCTTACTCTGGGGGTGTGCAATATAGCTGGAAGTTTCTTCAGGTCGATGCCGACTTGTGGAGCTTTTACGAGAAGTGCTGTGGGCAGTGCCAGTGGCATACAGACACCTCTGGCTGGACTCTACTCTGGTATCATGACCCTCCTAGCCCTCAGTTTCCTTACTCCCTACTTTGGCTTCATTCCCAAGGCCACATTATCAGCTGTGCTCATCGCAGCTGTTGTTTTCCTCATCGACGTGAGGATCATGAAAGTCTTGTGGAGAGGCAACAGTGAGTGACCATCATCCCCAGATGAATCAATTAATCCAATAGTAACAATGTTTTTTTTTAATCGTCAGAAAAGGATTTGTTCATCGCCCTGGGAACGTTCGTCATCAGTATTTTGCTAAATGTCGAGACTGGATTGTTGTTCGGGACTGTTGTCAATGCTCTTTTTCTGCTTTATCTCTCGGCGAGACCTTCAGTTGAAATTCAATCGCGAAAGGTAATTAATTTTCTCTATTTTCATTCTCATACAGAATCATAGGCAATGATTAATTTTTTGATGTGATCGATTTTAGACTATTTTGGAGGAAAAATATATTCTCGTCAAGCCAGAAATTGGATTATTTTATCCAGCGGTGTCGTTCTTGACGACAAAAATAATCAAAGTGGCGCATCGCGAGGCGAAGGGAATTTATCCAGTTGTTGTGGATTTTGAGAGGCTCCAGGGGATAGATTACACTGCGACAAAGGGCATTGAAAATCTCACCAACGCGTTCGAGGGTAAATCCCAGCTATTGATATTTCTTCATGTCAGTCCGTACGTCGTCAACTCCATCGAAAATTTTGGAGTAACGAGAAAGATATTTTTTATCGAGTGTGAGGACCATCTCCTCAATGTCTTCGCCAGTGAGTTACAGCTCTCCTCATTCGCCAATTGAATTCGTTCTCATTCCTCTAATGAAATTAATCTTCATCTGTTAATTTTTTTATTTTTAGGCTTGAAAAAGAACACCCAAGGAAATTCGACGATTATGACATATAAAGGACTTCAGGAGAATTACGAAATCAAAGAGGGTGAACCCCTCCCGGAAGAGGAAATTCTTCTCCCGAATCGAGTCCCCAAGGTTATTGATTCTCCAAACTGATGAGAACTTACTCACCGAAAAATAGCAAAGTCATCCTCTCCGGCTGGACTGGAGATATCCAAGACAAATAAATCTGTTATCACCCCCTCGGGTCAGCAAACCCCAAATCAAAAGTATTTAAAATTGAAAATAAAAATGCATTGACATAAGAAACCTGTACTCCAACTTCTTCAATTGAATTTATAGTAATTAGGTAGATATGTCCCACCAATTGCACATGTTGTACTTCCCGCTGGTTCATCAGGGCTTTATGTCGTCTTTAGGTCACAGTTGGCAACTTGGCATCCAGAACGCCCCCTGGTGCACTTTCAATCATTAATTTTCAAGGTCAGAAACATTGAGCTTGCGTCTCACCTAAGAGTGTATTCTTCGGGTGGTTTCCTGACAATTTTTCCACCCTCTCCCCGTGTTTTTGTGTTCATTTTGGCGTTCACACATGTTCCACCCATAGAGGGCAACCTAGAAAAAAAAAAAATCGTGTGTGTTCAACCGGGAGACAGACGAGAATGAGCTCGTGTACACTTCCCTTTTTGATTCATCGATTGCAGAACATTGTCAAATAAATTTGGTAACACTATTGAAAGAGGTCAATATAAGTTTCAATGAGATAACCAATTATTTTTTCCTTCCTCGTGTTTTTAAACATTTACTACATCTACATTTTATTCTGGAGCCTCATGTGCATGAGCTTGTTATATAGGGATATATTTACATCTGTTGATGAATCTCAGATTAATAAATGTGTGATTTTTCGTTTGGGCCGTGATTATTTATTCAAGTTGTTGTGATGTATGAGTGGGTGGGTATAGATAAAAAATCGTCAACGAGATGAAATGTTTTTTGAATTGACTCCAATTATATGGGAACGTTAACCCCATTACAGTGATCTCTGACAAAACATTCGTTAAAGTCCTCGTTCCAGCGTTTGTCTTCGTGAATATTTTCAATTTCCGTCATTTCATTGTTATTCGAGATATTCCATCCGAATAATCTCAATCGTTCCTCCAAAATATAATGGAATAGAGTGTGAGAAATTAGTCGCAATTTGCGAGGGATTTGGAGTAATAGTGGAACTCATGGTGTGGGATAACGCACTACTAACCTCCATAGACAAATAAGCGGGAAGTCTGTATTAATTCACTATTTGTACTATTTTCTGCAGCATGTATTATTCAAGGTTATTGGCTTATCCCAGAAAAAGCTCATTGCATTGAGCTGATGCCTCCATTGTTTCACATTCTCGTTTAAATTCAGTAACACAATAATTCGTGACAGCTTTTTCTTCATTTTATGAAACTTTGACATGTCATTGTTTGGAATCGGAACTATGTAGAAAATACATTGGAGTTATATTAATATCATAACTGACAATGTAATTTCGAATTCTGAACAAAACGTTCATCAATTTCTCGTGGTTGTAGAGAATTAATATAATCAGAATGTGCGTTTGTTTTTCTCATTGCAGATAAATAAATAAATACTGAGTGTGATTACTCTGGCAAAGTGTGGGTCATGTGGACCACCTGTAGAGTAATGTAATGAATAACTGTGCGAACTCTACTACTGGTACGAAGCTACGGGGATCCAAGAGCTCGGAGCTTCGAGAGGAGTCATCAAACGGCGATAAAACCGAGGACGCTGATAAGACGGATAAGAAGTCAAAGAAAGAAGTAACAGAGACAGAGGCATCGAGCAACGATTTTGGTGTACCAAAGGGAACACTTGTTATTTGTCAGAAGAGCTGTGGAGGGCTTGGTGATCACAGTTTTAGTCGTATTAAGCAGAGAAACAGTTGCGGCGTCAACCGCAATGAAGTGCGTATGGCTCGTGGGAGTAACAGTGGTGAGCGAGGTCGAGGGAGAAGTGGTAGGGCATTCAAAAAAGGCCAGGATCGCGATGGCAACACAGAGGGATATCACCCAACGGCCAGACAAAAATTTCAAGAATCGTTGAAGAATCAGGACAACTGCTCGAACAAATATTACGATGACAAGAGAATAAACGGTAATGTTGAAGGTAAACTGGCAATGTCAGGACTTTCAATCATTTTTTATTTGTTTATATCACAGGAATAAATTCAGTTATGAATTGATTTTTTTATTGATAATTGTCAGTCCTCGAAACATTTTTAGAAAGAAATATATGTGAATTTTGTTTATAGCTTGAGATTTATTGCGATTGGATTCATTTTTTTTTATTGTTTTCATGTTGCAGATGAATCGAGAATAACGAAACTGTTGCGGCGGTTGTGTCGAGAGGATGACTACGATCACTTTTTGCCCCTTGTTAAGCAGGTGCAGGAGGCCACTGTGGCACCTGATAACTATCGAATCATCAAGCGTAATTTAGAAGCAATTTGTGAGACACTATACGATATTTTACATCTTGAATTGGGTAATGAGGCTAAACAGCATACTGCTAAATGTTTTACAATGATTGGATACGTCATCAGTTCAGATTTCAAGAGATTCTTAGAATGGATTTTTGGGAAGTACGGAGTTGAGAGGAAAGATGATTTGAAATATTTGTTGATGAAATCTTTTGGTGATGTGCTAAAAATGGATATTACAACTCAAAAATTAAAGGATCATGCGATGACAATAATGTCACGCCTACAATCCACCCTTGAAAATGTTGACAGACCGGATCTACTGATGGCAACAGTCGATGCAATTTTGATAGTCACCGATTTGTATCCGGAGACATTTTCAGATCACTTTCGTGATGCTGTAGATATTCTCGTAGGTTGGCACATTGATTTTACCCAACCGAAATCAGTGACAGCCTACGCAAGTCAAAGTCTCCAACGTTTGCACGATTTTTGGATTGCTGACCTCCAGTTTACCCTGATGTTGCTGAGTCAATTTTTGGAGGATATGGAGAGTTACGACGAGGAATTAACAATACCAAATTCAGGAAGCAGTTCACCTGGGGAGGATCCTCCACCTGGCCCCAAAGAATGTATCCTACGGATTACATCCCTCATATCAGTTTTCAACACAGTTACCAAGAGTGTCGGAGAGTCATTGAATCCAACGGTGACACCTGCAGTGCAATGGTCCTTCCTCACTGATTGTCTCTCAAAAATGCTGCAGACTGTTGTCAAAGCTATCGAGCTGAGTGAGAAGACTCTGGAGCAATTGGAAGCCGGGGAACAAGAGAATGAAGCCCCAGAAGACGAGCAAGAGCCTACCGACAGTCCTGAAGAGGTCAAGCACCTATCAGACTCGATGAAAGGTCTCACTCTCTCCCAAAAGAACATCGACACTCTCGTAAAAAAAGTGAACGAGGATTGTATCAACGACCAGAAGCACTTCTTCAGGATAATAAAATCAATGAATTCAAATAAAAGACGCGAGGATAAGAAAAATGCCAAGAGCAGTGGAGATAGAGATAACGAGATCGAAGAGGATAAGTTGAAGACTCTTCTGAAATTGCTAAAATCAATTGAACTGAAGAACAAGGAGAGAAACAAAGTCCCTCTGGATCTCTCCCAGGAGAAAGAAGACTTGATCATCGCATCGAACGAGTGCATCTGCCACTTCCTGGGCCTCCTCCAGAGTCGAGTGACCAAAAATCACGAATTGTTATACAAATTTCTTGATATTCAACTCGAGAAGATCGACATTTTCCTGGACGACACTATTATCTCAACCCTGAACTTTGTTTCGAAGCTCATAAAGGAGGTCTCAGCGAATTTACCACTGGAATTGGTGCATAAGCTTCTTGGAAGTCAGTCCGTGCTCTTGAAGCTGCGATTTCGTCACTCAACAGCTATTCAAGGTGGAAGTCTGGCGGTATATCATAGTCTCCTGGGGCTGAAGAATATTCCTCTGCTTCAGGAAGCCTACAGATACATTCTGGGGGACCTGGAGATCGCTTACAAGCTCATACTACCTCACTTCGATGGTCTCGTGTCGAGCAATCCCTTGCCAGACGTCAAGTACCATCTCAAGGATGCAGAAATAGTCGTCCTGTTTCTTTTGAGAGCTCTCTCGGATCTCGCTAACGCCAGTAATTCTATAATCGGCATGTGGGCGTTAAAACCGAGTATTCTCGAGCTTCTTGCTGTGAAAATGATTCCGCATGACATAACTCTCACCAAAAATAGTCCACTTCTGCAAAATTGCATTCTTTTTCTTTTGTACGCTCACTGCTCTCGCTACAATCACTTCGTACCCAGTTCCAGTCTTATCACTGGTCCCAGCAGATCTATCGACATTTTTCCTGGAGCCCTGGACGTTCCAACAGCCTCTCCAACCAGTGGACACCTCTCCACAATTCTCAATCTCATATCCAGATGCTTCGAACTCAAGGATATCTCCGAGCAGACGATATTACTACTTTGCAAATGGGTTCAGGAGATCAATACACAGGCAGAAACTTATCTGGGGATTCTCAAGGATAAGGACGACTTCAAGTTAATTGTCTCGAGCTTATTGGCCCGTGGGGCCACTACCAATTCCAGAATCGCCCTGGCTATTTGCAATAACCTAGAGATCTTGTTGAATGACAAAAAAATTAACTGGTCAGAGTCTGTCTACTTGGGAGTTATTGATCTGGCGATACTTCATCTGACATCATTCAACACCACAGTGAGAAAGAAATATGGAGCTCTGTTGATCAATGTACCTGTGCACATCGTGATTCCCAGGATAAACAGGCAGAACCTGCAGTCAGAAACTAAGAAACTCCGTACAATCGATAATTACTCTGTGGAGTCCCTCACTATTGCACAACGACTTCACATGCGTGGGAACTTTGGGGGCTCAAGCAGTTCTGGAAATTCCAGTGGCTCGGGTGAGATGCAGGCTCAACATTTCAAGACCTACATGACATATCTTCTCCAAGATTACGATTTCAATGCCATGGGATTGTCGGAGATTTTCACTCTGTGCTGGTCAACAATATCAGAATCCGAGACATTGGCGAAAATGTATAAATTTGGACTGGTGAATCGTTCGTTTCTGTTTTTCTGGAGTGGAATGGAGGCTGCCCAGCACTGCGTATTGAATAAACTGAGAACACCACTGGGAAAGCCCCCGGAGACATTCACGAGTATTGAGGGAGCTCTGAAGGCACTGGCAAGAGAGATCTCGTACAAACAGGACAACGTAAAGAAGGATGAGAGAGGTCTCACCGACTCCCTCCACGAGCACACTAGAGTTAGATTGCTTATTGAATTCCTAGAGCATTTAGAGAGGGTCATTCACAATGCCGCTGAGGGGTGTGCAGTGGCCCTTGCACCACTTCCAAAACCAGTTAGAACTTTCTTCCATACTAATAAATCCACGTGCAAAGAGTGGCTCATTCGAATTCGCCTGGCTCTGTGTGTTGTTTCGCTTCATGCTGGTCTTGCAACTAATGCATTGAGGAATGGCCAGAGATTGCTGGAGGATTTGGTGGATGTTAAAGTCACCCACAGGGCGGAGTTCGAGAGAGTTACATTGTGCACTGCACAGGCACTTGTTATCTTAGGGGAAACCGAAGCACTTCAGGGTCTTTATATTTACGCGAAGGAGAGAGAGAGGAAGTTTCCCTGGCTCAAAGCCGCCATGGAGGAGGCAGCTGGACGTTATGAGAGTGCAGCTGAAAGTTACAAGGCTATCCTAAAGGAACATCCCTGTGTTAAACTCCAAGATTCAGAGGCTGAGAAACCAGACGAACCGACTGCCGATGGAGATTCTCATGTTGCTGCTTTTGCCATGCAGCATCTGACACGCTGTTATCTTGCTATTGGAGACTGGACCCAATTAGAAGCCTGGAAGATGTGGGAATCCGAGATTCTTAAGAGGGACAGTAATTATTCCCTCAGAAAACAGATCTTGGGAAATGTTGTCACGCAACAGGCGAAATCCTTGAAGGATTTTGAAAGTGGCGGCACTAACACCATTGAGGAACTCTCTGATTGGACTCTGTTGCATGAGAAAGCCAACACCAACTGGAGCTGCACGAAGACGATGTTGGAAGCCTCGAATACTCTCTTTAATGTGGCTCTGAGGATTCGGGCTGGGGATGAGGACAGAGAGTTTTGCCGGGAGAAGGTGGAGCTCTGCAAGAGAATCGCTGCAAAGACGATCGAGGAGGGCCTTAGAAATATGCCATCGGAGTACTTGAGTGACTCTATACTCATGCAGTACTCCGCTCAAGGTCTTGCTGATCTTCTCGAAGGGAAGAGTGCGAATGGTTTCGATCTTTCTAATTCAGAAGGGGTGAAGAATCTTGGATGCAACGTGATGGGACAGATTCTCTGGTGGTCTGACTATTTCTCCACGAGCTCAACTGCCTCCACTAGTAATGTATCAGGGCTGAGACTGGATTTAATCAAAAGTGCGCGTAAAGAGGGCAATTTCAAATTTGCCAAACGAGAGATGATCAAATACTTCTCGAAAGAACATCTTTTGGGATTCGAATTGAGCGCTTTAGGAAATCCACCAGACTCACGGTTTTCAGAGCTCACGAATATTATTTTGGACAGCCAGATCGCCATCAAATGGACACAGAACAACATGAGGGCGTTCAGAGAGATGGCAAAGTTGTTGTATAGTATGGAACTGATTGAAGATGCTGTGAAGGTGTGCAGTGTCACTGCGCTTGGGATATCGAGGGCAATTGTCTGTGGTGACGAACCAGCGGATAACTTGAGGGAAACTGGTACGAAATTGATGCTGACACTGGGTAAGTGGATCCAACAGCAAGAGAAGAATGTAACAGAGAGCCCTCAATTGAACGAATTATTGAGATTCGAGGCTGTCCATAACGATGGATTGATGAGCAAGCTATTTGGACAAACGACTGAATTGATACCCCACTCGGATATGATAATTGGTAAGTTAATGCAGCTTGGAGTGAATCAGTGTCCTGAGCTGCCTGAGGCTTGGGCTGAATTCGCTGCCTGGTGTTACAAATGGGGAAGAAAAATAGTGGATAACTCGCATTCAGGACAATTGACTGAGACCGACGTTAACAATATCAGGGCGCTGTTGCCTCTGGATACCCCAGAGGCAGACTCTAATGAAATTCTCGCAATTCTCAGTCAGAATAAGAGCATCCCTGAGGATGAGGGAGATATCGAGACAAACGAGGTGAAAACATCCGATATGATTGAGAATCAACTTCGTCAGGTTCCAGTTCTGGCTCTCGCCACAACTGAACATTTGAGTCTCCTGGTGGATATCTGGAGACAGGCACAGAAGAGAATTTACTCGTATTACGAGCTGTCAGCAAATGCTTACTTCAAGTATTTAGAGCTTGCGAATGGGGAGTCCAATGATTGTGCTACAATAACCGCGACCTTGAGACTTTTGAGGCTTGTGGTGAAGCATGCACTTGAACTCCAGCATGTTCTGGAGGCTGGACTGTCGACGACCCCCACTGGGCCCTGGAAGGAGATTATTCCACAGTTGTTCTCGCGATTAACTCATCCAGAGGCTTACGTCAGGACCAGGGTCTCTGAGCTTTTGTGTAGAGTTGCTGAGAACAGTCCACATTTGGTCACCTTTCCAGCAGTGGTGGGGGCATCATCAGATCACAGGAAGGACTTCGAGGAGATTCCAGCGAGGTACGAGAGGGCTGAGGACTCCCCCAATGATTTTGACTTCGACGTGGACGAGGTGGACATCGCCATTCAATCAGGAAACAACGAGGACACTGACAGCCACGACGAGGAGCACAAAACTTTCATGGACGCCTGCTTCGCTCAACTGCAAGAGTGCCTTTCTAATGGAATCCAGGACTCCGTCAGTCACGTGAAAATTCTCGTGAAAGAGCTGAGAAGAATTACACTTCTCTGGGACGAGCTGTGGCTCGCAACTCTCTTCCAACATCATACAGAAATTTCCAAACGGTTTGAACAGCTCGAATTTGAGATCCAGAAGGTTCTTGATAATGCTTGGATAACGAGTGAAGACAAGGAGAAATTAATCACGGAAAAACACAGGATTATTCTCAAACCAATAGTTTTTATTCTGGAAAATTTATCAGCTATGACTTCAGTCCCAGCTGAGACACCTCATGAGCGACAGTTCCAGGAGAAATTCGGTCCAGCTGTCGAGGAAGTAATCAGGAGGCTGAAGAATCCCAAAAATCCTGCCAAGCCTCAACTGGCGTCAACTCCTCTCAAACAGCTGGAGGCAAAGCTGGCCCAGAGAGTGAACAGACGAGGTGCTTATTCCCTCTCAATGGCGGATATCAGTCCAGTCCTTGCCAGTATGAAGGACACGAAAATAGCAATGCCAGGGGTGTTTGCAGTGGATAAACATAAAATCGTAACGATAAGATCTGTCGACAATAACGTTCAGATTCTCCCTACAAAGACAAAACCGAAAAAACTGATGTTCCATGGATCTGATGGTCACGTCTATACGTACCTCTTCAAAGGCTTGGAGGATCTACACCTGGACGAGAGAATTATGCAATTTTTGACAATCTGCAATACAATGATGTCGAAGAATAATGACACAAGTAGAACGTACAGAGCTCGTCACTATTCAGTGATTCCACTTGGTCCAAGATCAGGTTTGATCCAGTGGGTGGACGGTGTGACTCCCTTATTTGCACTATACAAACGCTGGCAGCAGCGAGTGAGCGCAATGGCTGGGACCAAAGGAGGAAGTGGGGCTCCAGCAGTGATGAGACCCTCAGAGCTGTTCTACAATAAATTAGCTCCTCTCTTGAAGGAACGAGGAATTCCCCTGGAGAACAGAAAAGAGTGGCCACTGCCTGTTTTAAAACAAGTTCTGTCTGAACTGATGGCAGAGACCCCGAAAGACCTGTTAGCAAAGGAGATCTGGTGCAATAGTATCAACGCAGGTAACTGGTGGCAGGCGACCAAGAGCTACTCATACTCAGTGGCAGTTATGTCGATAATTGGATACATCATTGGCCTTGGGGATCGACACCTTGACAATGTTCTCGTTGACTTAAACACCGGGGAAATTGTTCACATTGATTACAACGTGTGTTTCGAGAAAGGAAAGACCCTGCGAGTCCCTGAGAAAGTGCCTTTCAGGATGACACCGAATATCAAGACAGCTTTGGGTGTTACTGGGGTCGAGGGCATCTTCAGGCTGGCGTGCGAGCACACTCTTAGAGTTATGAGGAGAGGCAGGGAGACATTGTTGACACTGCTGGAGGCATTTGTTTATGATCCTCTAGTGGACTGGAGAGCTGGAGCTGAGAACTCGATAGCTACCTATGGAGCCTGCCAGGCGAGGGCTAGGTGTACTGGAGTCGGAAGAAAACAGCTGGAAAAAGAACTGACTAAAGCAATGTTTGCAGTGAGAACAATTGAAATGAAGACCGAGTGGTTTCTCAACAGAGACGTTATGCTGAGAAATCTTCCAGCACTCTCCAGACAGCTTGAGGAGTGGCTGGAGACTCATGAAGCCACTCGACAGTGCCAGGACTTGTTGCAGGATCGTCATCAGCAGTTGGGGCTGATCAAAGAGGCTCAGGCCATCGGTAGAAGCCATGGGCTATACTCAGTGATTAAACGATATAGTACGTTTAAACGAGCGAGAGATGCACATGATAAAGCGAAATTGTGTCTCGAGGAGAAGATGCAGGAGTGTGAGAAGCAGATGAGCATGCATAATATGGCCCTCACTGCTATTCGGGGTCCACAGCTCGCCAGGTGGTTATCAGAGCTTGGAACTCTAACAACCGCTCATGAGGATCACATGGTATTTGATCTTGTGAAGGAGTTCCTCCAAAATGCTGGACAAAATCAGATGATCGTACAGTGTGAACAATCGGAGAATGAGCTCACACAATTGGCGACTCAAGAGTCTCTACTCATTCGTTCCTCTCTGGAGTTGTTGAGCCAGTACTCAGCTATTTGCAGTTTCTATCCAGTCAGTGCAATATCACAGCATCGATCAGTCATGTATCACACCTGGTTGAGCCACATGTTGACTACCGGATCTGTGGAAGTTTGCCGCGATGTTATGGGACAATTTGAGATGAATTTTGATGCTTCACGTAATAATGAAGCCAAGTTACAGAGAATTATTGCCTTTTCATTTCAAATACAGGGAATTATGAAAGATACCAATGAAAAATTTGCCAAGTATTACGAGAAAATGGTGGCGAATGAAGGACTTCCAGATGCACAGGCGAAAATTGATAAGACTTATGCTGATACCAGGCTTCAGATAAGCAATTTTCTTCGAAGAGAAAAGGGGGCTGAGAGAGCTCTGGAGGCTGTCAACACAACAGCTCTCTGTGCATTGAATAAACGATATCTCATAATGGAGGGTGCTGCTAAATGTGCTGGTGAATGTTTAGTGGATTTAACGTCGAGAGAGGGGGACTGGTTCCTCGACGAAATGCGTCTGATGTCTTCCTTGATTGTTGAACTTGTCACAATTATACCACTAAGTACTACAGATGAGGATTTCTCCATGAGGCGATCCCTGGAGTGTCTCAGAGGTGCTGACGAAATTTACAAAGGACTTCAAGAGCTCAATTATAATTTCCAGATGATTATTTTACCTGAGGCTTTCAAAACAATCATCACTGAAGAGCCTAGTGTGGTGCTGATGGTGAACGAAGTAGATGAGATAATAATCTCAATTGGAATTCCCCTCGTGGATGTGCTGAATCAACTAGAACTGCATTTGAGATTTACATTGATGGATATGGAGAGCCCCCACGTGCTAGTTCAATCCCTGGTATCGAGTGTTCGTGTTCAATTCGATGCGTTGTTGTCGAGACCTCCGGAATTACGTGAGGTGGGTCAGGACTCCGAGAGCTTGACCCCTGGACAAATGTTATTGATGGGATTCAATGGACTGTTCGAGAAGCTCCAGATAGAGGCCAATACTTTAGTATCAACTCTGGGCTCACTGGACATACCTGCCTGCTGGAAGAAGATCGATCAGATCAGAGAGGCCAAGGAAATAGCAGCACCCATATTCCACGAAGGGGCTAGACGAGTTTTAGACGATATTTTTCTTGTAAAACGATTGCAAGCAATTCAAGAGTTTTTCACGATGTGCCGGGAAATTGGAAATGCCTTCAAAGGAAATGACAGACCGATGAATATTTACGACGACGAGAGACTGAATAAACCAGTCAAATCATTTACTGCCGATTATGTGTCAAGACAATTGCTAGGGGTGACATCCCAAACGTTGGCTATTGTCCTCTGTTTACTACTACAGGAAATGGGTTTAAATGTCACGGAGGAGATTGAACAGAGGGACATTGGGGCAGAGAGTAAAGTATCTCTGGAGGATCTCTGCAGGAAGAATATGGATATTTCCCTGAAATCTGGAGTGTTCACTGGGGCCGCCTTGGGGCAGGCTAGTGCCCTTTGCAGCAGCCTCGAGGGTGTCTGGAGGCGCAAACAAGGAGCCCGAGTAGCCCAGCAGAGTGTCGAGATCGCTAGAGCCACTCTCCAAAGACTGCAGATTGAATTCACTGCACATCAGTGGCTCCATGAGGATAGCTTCCTCACTAGAGCTAATCTCACTCCCATGAATCCCCTCAATCGACCGAATTTTATGCTCGAACTTCGAAAGACAGCGAGTGCTCTCACGAGTTTGCAGTCGAGGGTGTGTGAAGCTCGAGAGCAACAACAAAATCTGGTGGCCAGTGTCGACCAACGATTGAAGTGGGCCGCTGGGGCCAATCCAGCTCTGACTGAAGTGATGGCTGCATTTGGCAATGCTGTTTTGTCTTCCAATGATAAATTGAGTCATCAGAGGAGTCTTGCTATTAATGTGGCAAATACCTGCAATTCTATTCTTCATTATGAAGCGTTGAGAACCAAGACCTCTGAAAGTATGACTAATGATTCGAATTTTGCAAAACTTATGAAGCAGTGGGAAGAGAGTTGTCTGCTGAGGGCTAATTTGTCGGTTAGTGTTTCGATGATCGAGGAGAGCCTTGTCGAGCTACTCCAACTGGATAATAATATTGATGTTAATTGGTTGAGGAAGGCGGAGAAATTAATAGCTGATGCTATTGTTGAGAATCAGAAGACTCTGCAGGAGAAGCAGGAGCAGCATGTAAGGAGTCAGGAGAGGCTCAGGGAGGAGCTGGGGGAGTTGCAAGAGACTCTGGGTGAACATCACAGGCTTATGACTGATGTCAGGGGACTATTGAGGACTATGATAAAGCAGGAGAATATCGTTGGGCTTCAGGAGTTTCTTACTGAGTACAGAGCCTTCATGGAGAGCATTTCCACGGTTGTCAAGGAACTTGAAGGAGAGAATTTGGAGCAGTTGAGAATTATAGAGGCGAAAGTTGTTATTGACTCGTTGACGGAGAAGGTCTCGAGTCTTTATGATGAACTCCTGGAGTTCGCGGGAGGATCGAATGGGGCTGGAGTTGTGGAAAACATTATCGCTGCTAAAAAGAGGGCCAAACTTGTGAGACAAGATACGAGCGTGTGTCTCAGCCCGAGGAAGGGAATTCCAATGGCCAGAGATCCAACGACAGGGAAAGGTACGATTTTATATCGAGAAAATAGTGGAAATATATTTATTGGGAATTGAGTTTTAGATAATTGTGAATGAATCATTAATTTCAGCCGTACAAGAGAGAAATGCCTATGCCCTGAACGTGTGGCGACGAGTGCGAATGAAACTAGAGGGACGTGATCCAAATTCATCGAGAAAATACACAACGGCTGAGCAAGTGGAATACGTGATCCGTGAGGCGCAGAGCACCGATAACTTGGCACTGCTGTACGAGGGTTGGACTCCGTGGGTGTGAACGTCGCGGATGTCGGCGCAACCGCGTCGTATGGTTTGACTCGTTTATCCACCTCAAAATCATATTTGGTACCAACTAATTTCGTACCAAAACCACGTAAAACTAAAAAGAAAAAAAAACTGCAGAAGTAAAAAAGGTACATTGGGGCGATGCAAAAAAAAAGGCCAGCCAATGCTTCAGTTGCTTTGGGGCAATAATAGCGTGATCAACGTGATCAGTGATTCGGTGTATTTTCCATATGCACTTATTGAATCACGGAGAATGACAATGTCAAAACGTCGAGGCACCGGGGGTACGAGTATGCGCGCTCTACGATGAGTCGTTACGCAAAGAAAGAGCAGTAATTATCTCATGCTCATCGGTTACACGAGTATCCTCTGTTTGCACACGTTTAAACGCATGTCGAACGGCGTTTGTCTTCGAACGAAAAAGCAAAAAAATGGAAACATGATTCAAGGATTTCTATGTTTCAACTTCTATCAATGGCAGTGAAATGTTAACTTTTTTTTTTCTCTCTATATTTGGACCTACTGATAAATATTCAATTTCTCTGTTTACATGATGAAAAGGAAAGTCAGGCAGAAATGCTTGTATGTCACTTGATAAGGCGGCGCTGAAAATAGTTAGAAGTAATGCAAATCAATTTTCCCTGCGCTTTTCAATTAGCGGTGAATATCGAAGAGGACAAGTCTCTTACGTTCTTGGTTAAAAAAATATTATTATTAAAAGTATTGGTTTTAGGGGAAATTTGGATTGATTGAATTGACAGTAATTCTGATTTCTCATATTTTCAAATTTTGCGGATGAAATTTGATCGCCGGAGGGGGACATTTTTTGGAAATTCAATGTGGGTTGTCCTGTCGATAATATTCATCATAAATGAAAGCGTAGTTTTTAATAGGTGGACACAATTTACGGTAGCTGTAAGTCAAAAAAGGATAATTGGTGATTTTTTTTGTAAATTCAAATCTCTAATGAAGAATCATAGGCACGAGCTCTTTAATTTTTTGAAATTACACAACAGGTGAAAAAGGTAGGAAAGCAAAATCATAATCGATCGTTTATTTGATATCATTTATTCGCGTATCAGAAATTATTTCCCTCACTCGGGGGTAATAATCATTCAATTATCAACAAAAACATAAAACCACAAACAATACAACACTATCTCTTGACAATTCCAAAGGACATAGAAATTTCTGATAACCCAATGGGAGAAAGTAATACAATAATCTAGGCTCGATTAAATTTTTATCCAAAATCCTCGTCGCCGTTTTGGTGTGGGCGCCGCCGAGAAAATAATTATCAATAAAATTATTATTCTAAAAAATTTACATGACTTGAATAACAATCACTATTTATAATTACCCCAAAACTTCATACGATTCTTTTACTTTTCTTGATAAAAACTCGCTAATATATGTAAATCGATACGAGAGTGGCATTTGTAAATAATTCAATCTTGAAGAAATGAAGAATAACAATTCGATTTATTCTTCAATTGGATTTTCGGGGTATATCTCTGAATCTAAGCGAGATATCAAAATTTCAGTAGGAATATTTTTTGTTGAGCGCATCGAACTCTCGAAAAAAGATCTCAACAAAAATTTCGCCATCTCCCTTAGAATCAGCTGCATTCCACGAAAACGTACCCTCGCGTTGAATCAATTTACTCTTCACCCTTTCGCTTCTGAATTTATTTATTTATTCACTCATTCAAATGATGTCATACTTATTTACAGAAATGTTCACACGGCATTACCTTTGAACCTAATTCCAACAATTTCTCTACATAATTTCAGTCTCACGATGAAAAAAACAAATCATCTCTTTCCTATCTCGATGGAAAATCATGAATCGCTTAAAAAACTCGACTAAAATTTAATCGTAACAAATATTCACAAGTGGAAATGAATGTCTAGAGCCGACCAGCGACGCGAAGGCAATGTTATTGCACTCATTGGAAATGTCAATAACTCACTCACTCGAAAAATTGAAAAGGGAAATGTCTGATTTACCAATTCCCTCATAAAGTTTATCGACACTTCGTTCCATTTGACTCTGACTAGACCTACGTGTCCCTCTTCAACAACTGTTCAATCTGGCTTTTATACATGTCCTTGACGTCCTCCAGGTCTAATCGCAACTCCTCAGTCTCCTCCACTTTTTCACCGTACATTTGCAACAAAGCGTCGTACCTAGTTTGAATTTCATTCAAATTAACATTCAAAGCCTCCACTTCATTCAATTTGGCAGTTAGTTCCTCGATTTTCATCGATAAATTCGATAGCTCCATTTCGAGTGCATCTCGCTCTTTGTTTCTCCGGGATAATTCCCACTGGAGGGTCTGTATTTCACCTGGAAGTCAGTTGGCTCGTTGAGAGAAACGTTCAATACTCGATTAATTTAAATTTAAATACGGTTTAATAAATACTCAACTGGTTTTGTCAAATGCATAAAACCTATCTCATTTGAATAATTATTTTCCTGCAGGCATTTGGCCGAAAGGTCTCGCCTTTGCAGGAGAAAAATTGATTGGATGGAGTAGGTTTCATGTTATGCCAAGAAATTTTTTACTATTGTGCAAACCCCACGATTGACTTGTTTGTGCATACCTTCTCGTGCCTTTAACTGCGCCTGAAGGGTTTCAATAGTCGATGTTGTGTTTGCACTGGCTCTCAAGCCCTCGTAAACATTCGGGAAACGTCCGGAGCTCGTATCAAATACTGAATCATTGAACTGAAAGGCAGAATTTAAATTGTCAATTAGGCATTCCAATGAGTTTCAGTTTGCAAAAGTCCGTGATGAAAATTGATTTTTTAAAACCCCAACGCGGAGCTTTTATTAGAAAATTCTCAAGTTTAAATCGATTCGAGTGCAACTCAAATTAAATCAATTACAAAAAGTTGAAAAATTCGTACAGCGTCTCTTTTTCAAATCGATAGTTTTCGAGATAATCTTTTTAACTGGTCAAGTTAATTTATGGAATTACTCGGTATATTAACGAAATTTCACCTGAAATAATATACTCTTGAAGTAATTAAATACCTCATCCAATTAAAATACCCACCGCTAACCAAACGCTATTGGTGCTGCTAATGGAATCCCTCCTGAGGCTAGAAGTGGGGCTGATCCTGGCCTCCTCCCCCGCACCCTGATGTTGCTCGAGCGATACAATATTCTTTCTCTTTTCCGCATCGATGGCAGCCTTCTCCACTGATAATTTATCACTCAACGCTTCAATCTCCCTGCTCAACTCCCTCACCTCCTCCTGATGGATTTTTTCCATACTCTCCATCTTCCCCCGAATCCTCTCAATCTCCCCCACCAACTCTTCATTCTCCAATCTCCCCTTCTCACACGTCTCCTCCAATTTCATTTTCTCCACATCCTTTCGCTTCAGCTGCGATTCCAAACTCATTACCCTGGATTTCAAATTCAAATTCTCCTCCACGAGAGAACGATCAGTGACAGCCATGCTATCAACTTTCGTCTGCAACTCGTCGATTCTCTCGGCCATTATCTTTTCTTGCTTCATATAAGCAGATGATTTGTGTGCAAGACTAGTCTGAAGTTGTTCGAGTTGACGAAGAAGTGGTTGAGTAGCCAGCGACACTGATTCAGAGAGCTCTTCACTCCTCGTTTCAGCAGCCTCCAGTCTTTTCAACAATTCACTATTCTCCTGTTTAATCGACTCAACCTTCTTCACATTATGTTCCTCAGTCTGGCGTAATTTTACTTTGAGATCCTCTACCTGGACTCCAAGTCTGCAAGACTCCCCAGCATTATCCAACGCCTGCTTGAGCTCCTCCTCAACACTCGTAAAATTTAACTTGGTCTCTGTCAATTCTGATTTGGCAGCATCAAGGCTCGTTTTATATGCATCCATTTTATGCACAGTAGTATCCAATTTTTCCTGAAGCGTTGTTATATCCTTGTCCTGTTTTTTAACTCTCGCTGTCAACGTGTGCACAGCATCAATTTGACTCCGCTCAACTTCCTCCTTAGCATGCAGCGAACGTTTAAGTCTTTCTAATTCGCTATTCAATTCTTCAAGTTGCTCCTTCTGAGTCTTCAGTGTTGTCTCATTCTCCTTCTCCTTTGTTCGCAATTTTTTTATTATATTAGAGTGCTGGAGCTGCTGTTTACTCAGCTTCTCACCCTCCTCTCTCAGCTGTTTTATTATCTCGTCTTTCTCGGTGTTGACCGATGACGTTTGACTCGACATCTCTTTCTTCAGGCTCTCCACCTGATCCTTGAGTACATCGCGGTCTCTGATCGTCTGCTGAAATTTTTTCTCCAACGCTGACATGCGTTGGGTGTATTCGTCGGTTATAACGTTTAAATCCTGATGCTGCTGACCTCGTTTCTCCCAGGACTCCAGCTGGATCTTCAGGTGATTGTTCTGCTCGTGCAGTTCCATGTTCATTCGACTCACGTCAATTAGTTTCGACTCCCTCACTTCGAGAATTTCATTCATCTCTTGGATTCTTCTCAGGAGTTTTTCGATTTCGAGGCTTGCAGCGTCCGAGCCAATGCTTATTTCACTGAGCTCGCGAGAATGTCCTCGTATTTTCAGGGTCTTCGTCAGAAGGTCATTCGCTTTGTTACAGTGCATGTTCGCTGGGGATTGACGGGATTGCGTGGAACTTGAATCTCCATTTGGACTTGAAATAATTTCAATGTCACTGGAAGTGGTAGTTTCGAGTTCATCGCCACTGGTGTGTCCACTGGCGTGATCAGATCCTATTTTCACCAGATCAGAGCGGCTCTCCGAGGAGATGGGAGAGGTTTCTCTGGGAGGGATCTCAACACTTCGCCCTTCCATTCCCCCAATAATCTCTCTCTTCTCCACCATTGCCTCAGCCAACATATTCTTCACGTACGAACTAGTAGTGAGAGGGGCCTCCTCGCTCTCCTCCTCTCTGAGGGTGGGATTTTCCTCAGAACTAGTCTCAATCAGTGTTCCCTCGCAACTGGAGTCGGTGAGAAGAGTACCGGCAGTCTCAGAGGCCCTTCCAGCCTCTGAACATGTGTCATCCAACTCCGAGGGCTCGATGGTAGTACTTTTAACAATATCAGGATCGTAAGACTCCATTTTTTCAGCTAGACACTCGGATTTCCTGATGGGTTGAGTTGTGATGGGCTCGAGGGCGAGGTGAAGACTCTGTTTAACGTCTTTCAACGAGTCCATGCTAGACTCCAGTTGAGAGGATACTGGAGCCGTGCAGATGGGTTTCTCCACACTCTCGTGTATTTTTCCCTTGCTGTGATCGACCTGTTGTTGAATTGTATCTAGCACTGTCATCACAGTAATGCTCTCCGAGGCAGAGGTGTACGAGTCCTCCGCCTGACTGATTTCGTCGAGTTCGTCGACACCCTGAGGTACTTCCACATTGATCGGTAATGATGTCTTTTCAACACTGAGCGACATCAGCCTCGTCTGCTGAACACACCCAGGCATTTCCTTCTCCTCGATTTTCGGTGTCTTCTTCTCCTCCAAAGGTGACGCATACGGAGAAATATCTGAGGACGAGACGTCCGAACCCTGGGTGACATCAGAATCCGGTTCGATCGACGTTGTGGCCCCATCTGGGGATTTCTCATGGTTGATCGACAGGAAAGGGCTCTCAGACTTTGATCTGTCGTCCAGAATTTCCACTGAACTCGGCGAAGTGACTGAACTGTCTGGCAGAATCTCCACAGACTCAGAATTTCTTTTTGGATCGATCGCTGATGTACTCAGTGATATACTCGGGGATATCAGATCGGATTCCGGTGTCGTTGTGCAATCTGTGTTCGTCTCTGATCTCGATCCCAGGATTTCCACGCTATCTGAACTTCTCTTGTCACTTCCTGACGATATTATCGATATTCTATTTATTTTCTGGGTCAAGGAGTCTCGTTTTTCTGATACTCCCGAGGGGTTCTCAAGGAGTTTCCACTCATCTTCATTGACATCCTTTCTGGGGGATTTCTTAAGATTCTGAAGACCCTCAGCATCCAGTTGGAGATCCACCTGTTGAGGCTCCAGTTCGTCACTAATTTTCAATTCATTTTTATTCACGAATTTTGATTGAATTCGAGTCAGACTGTCTGGCAGTGACATTGAGGGAGTTATTGGAACCGAGGGGGGCTCGGATTTATCGTCAAATGACTCCGAACGTCTCGGAGGCTTTCCTCCCCATTCTTTGCCAGGAGTATCGAAAAACGACCCTGTAAAACTTCCCCAGATACTGCTGTCAGGTTTTCCACTCGTCGTGGCGGGCTCGACATTGCTGGACACTTCTGTATCACTCTTTATACCCCATGCAGAGAAGAAATTCGATTCGTCGATCACAGCTGCCTCTGCAACTCTCTGTTCCTCTTCTTTTATGTCGAGCGCCTTGTCTATCGTTTTCTGGGCCTCCTTCAGGGCCGATTTTGCCAAACTGGCAAATCCTGACGCGTCGAACCAACTCATCGCTTCTCACATCTGTAAACAAACCATTAAAAAGGTACCCGTAGTAATTGGTATTTTTTTTTATTCTCATAATAAACATTTTGTGAAGAAAAAATATAATTAGGACGAGTTGGAGTCGTGAATCAGCAGTGGAGTGAGTGCGTGACGAGAGTAATTAGAGGAGTTCACAATTTATTAGACATTCCCTGCACGAAGAGGTTAACTTCGTCGGTTTTTATCCTGAAAGCCCCTGGCTAGGGATTCCATCACACGGAGGATGAGAATTGAGATGGTCATGGATTTAATTTATTCAATTGTTGGAGGACTATTGATATCTGGTAGTTTTTATGATTGTGGAGTACCAGAAAAATTGACCTGTCAATCAATTCTTCCACGTCAGGTGACCCAGGAGTCAGGAAAAACAGGAAAAAATGGGGATAGAGGACTCACGTTTGTCGGAGCAGGGGATAAACCTCTTGACACATCGACGATACAATATCACTGCAGGAACATTGAAACTGTTTTCATTTGATAAATTCAAGGGGCTCAAGGGGTTGGAATGCACAGGTATCACTGACGTACACAAATTCACTGATGTACCGACCGAATTATTTTGCTCGGTTCCGCCTCTCTGCGACTGCGTCAGTGATTACCTTTTGCATCGTATGCATTTATTTTACAATTTCCTCGAAATTTTCACAATTATTGGTTTTAACTTTGGAAATCGATTTGTAATTTTTTCAATGATTTTTTAGAATTGTTCGTGATCGATAGGTCGGGGGGAATTGGAGGCTCGAGTTATGAGTTACGTTCGAGGTCCACTTGGTAACTGCTCCAGTGGCGCAATTGGTTAGCGCACGGTACTTATAAGACAGTGTTCGTGAGCAATGCCGGGGTTGTGAGTTCGAGCCTCACCTGGAGCATATTTTTTATTTTTTTTTATTGACATATAAAAATATGAAAAACATTAAAACCTGCAGAGTCCACCAAAACCATCTAATCCATCCCAATGTGATCAGTCAATTTTTTTCCCTGCTTTCTTCCCAATTTTTTTTCCCCTCAATCTTCCACCCCTTTCCCCCCTGACGGTAGTAATTAAATACGGATACTTGAATATAGATATTGTGGAGAGGTCAATGAAGAAATGAATTCGATTGCTGGTTTTAATCATAATTTCTCGTTTCTTTAATTCAGTTGTTTCTTCTCGTCAGGAGATAACATGACAGATGCAATTACGTTATTTAAGTTTCGATTTTCTGATTCTCAGAGTTTCATTTTCTATCTTACAATAAGGTGCAACATTCCTAGTAAAATAAAAATAGTTTTCTTTCTAGTTATTTAAATGTGGTACAAACGTAACACAAAGTGCTCACAAAATTCTAGGTACCATTTAATTTGCATCGCTAGGTTTTTCGGTTTTATTTATTTCTCGCTAAAATAAAGTTTATGTTTATCTCGAGGTCTAACGCCATTTCACTGCATGATTTCAATCGAACCGATTATTCGCTCGTTACTTAATTGTGTTTATTGATTGATGGCAGTTGTAATTTTTTAATGTATTCTTGTATTTTGATGATTAATATGTCGATTTTGCCGAGAGAGCTGAATATAATTGATACTCTAAACTAAATGCTGGAGTTCCTTCGAAAAAATCACTATTGTTCCGCTTAAATTGAGTTTCAATGTTTCTGTCTTCGTTTCATCAATTATCATTGATTTTTTAAATAAGTACTTCGTGACATTATTCGTGGGAATAATGCAATACTTTTCATTGTCATTTGATCTCGTTATAACTTTTTAATCTGTTCTTCGTTAATACAGCCCACACTGTAATCCTCTACGAACTTTCCTTAATCACTAAATATGATCTTTAAATATATCTGCATTATTTATTTATCAATATACTACTCTTTTCCTCTCCCCTTAGCTCTGATTTCATCAATAATCTCTGTAGAATTTTAATGTTAAATGGTAGTAGATGAGCTCTGAAGTGTCAATTAATTAATTACTAGAGTCGAACTATTTTTAAAGTTCATTCAGCGACCTTTGGTACTTGAGATTATTCCGCAGTAACGTGACGAATTATTCTTCCGCTTATCGCTGTTAATCCTCATGAGCTCTGTTTATTTCCTTCCAAATCTTCCATATCCGTAACTCCCTAATACCTATTAATTATCTAATTAATGAAATTCCGGTCGACGAGAAATGTGAGGAGAAGAGTGACGATGAATTCTCTAGCTTCTGACGCACATTAAAAGTTACATTCGCAGCTCAGAGATTTCTTTTGTTCATTTTTTTTTATCACAGCCAAATCTATGTACATGTGGTAACGCATAGGCACACACGTACAATATGTGTTTATACATATTTACCAACCGTGTATTAATGACATATATTAATAATCGATGAGCGATGAAATTGGGAAAAGTTCGATGAAACATTCTCAGGTGATTATAACTCACATTAATTACTTAATTACGTAATTATTCTTTCACATTTAACATATTCCATTGTTACGGATAATTAGGTAATTCTTCTACAGGATTATACTGCGAATCAAGCATTCCATTCTGTCCCTAAATTACGTGTGTATGAGTGTAAATGTTGCGAGGCTAGAGTGTCTTACAGAGGAACTCTTCTCCAAAATTCCTTGACAATCGTGTGATGTACAGACGACAGTGATGAAGGTACATGCAGAGATGAATGGAAATTTCACTTGTATCCAATAAAATACCGTGTAATACAATCCGTGTAACTAGAGGACAAGTCATTTCATCGAGTTACGTTGGAAATTTTCAAGTTACATCTAGTTGTTAATGTATTTCTCTGCCAATGTTTATGACTTTAAAGGGAATTAATGGGAAATTCAAGTCCCTCGTCTCTCTGCATTCTCACCAATCACCTGCGTCGATCATTTGCACAGTGGGAAAAAATATATTTCGAGTGAGAATCTATTTACTTCGAAGTAGGGCAGATTTTTTTTTTCATTTCAATAACGTATTTCTTCAGTTGAGTCGGTTCCAGGTGATCTCGGGCGGTTTATGGCATGTGGAGGAAAATATTTCAGTTAAATTCTAGAGGAGGAGTGGAAATGGAACGTTAAGGTAGGACTGGGAAAAGTGGAACTCACGCTGGGGCTCGTACTGTCATTATTTTCAGTTATCATTATTTCTATTATTTAAAATAATAGTAAAAATACTGGAAATTTTTCACTGTCTGAACTCTTGAAAATTCGAAAAAAATGCATTCTTTGAAATACCGCATTCGTTAATTTCAATTTCCAATAGTTGAAGATTTAAATAATAATAAAAAAAATGTAAATCTCCGAAGTAAAAGGCCTCTCTCATCAATAATTATTCCCAGTGCAGTTCATCCACTCAAATCCAGTTAACATTACCAAAAATGTCTCCCCCAATTTTCCAAACGTTTAAATCCCCCGTCGGCACTAAAGTTTACGTCTTGTTTTTGACAATTAATGACCTACTTACATTTTGACGACGTTGTGCGATAATCGCACGATGAAAAGAAGAACTATGTGATAACTCCATAAATGTCACCTACGACGAATCTACATTATACTTTCCAACGTTATGGAATAACGATCCAGTGGCCCTCCATTGACTCTCGTATAACTTTACGATATCCTAGTGCCTGCGAAGTCAATGGTATATTTCAGCTGCCAATTGTTTTTTTTTTCTCCATCCCGAGCGGATCCATTCACCTCCTGGTTCCATCCCAGTTTCATCAAAGGGGAAGAATTATTTTAACGTGTAACTCCGTCGCACCTCCCTTTTATTCCATCTTTTTTTTTTAATCATAGCAGTAGAACGCCGTCCCCCGAGGGGTAACGCTGAGGCATTTGTACCACAACAGTTTGTTTTAAAGCTTTTTTCATTCATGAAAGAGAATAAAAGTCCATAAAACGAGAAATGAAATTGTTTTTTCTCTCTCTGTTCGATTACAACGAACCTGATGACGATGGAGGGAGTAGAAAGCCACAGAAAATTCAATGGTCAACGCAGAAAAGACCGACACACTTGGTATTTCGAAGTTTGTTGAATGAAAAACGAAACGAATAAAATCAAAGCGAGGAATTGAATGACGAGAGAACGAAAGAGAGAATTCCGGGGTTTAAAAAAAAATGAAAAAATCACGAGTTTCCATTAAGAATTCGTGTACGTATGTCAATGGCACTCGTTGAAGAATGCAAATGTTTCTCCCTCCTCTATTTCTCCTTCGCCTTCCTCATTTGCCTGGAATTAATTACGACAAAGTACGATGGAGTTTAAATTAGTGGACGGTGAAGCCAGCAACAGCACGAGAATGAACGTGTGTAATGATAGAAGTCCAAAGCTAAACAGTGGTTTCCCGGTCAACGTGAATATATTCCACGAAGCCGGGAGGCGTTTGTCAGGATGATCCAAGCAATGATTCCTCAGTTGGTGCTCTCCGTGGTACATTTCCCGATCTCCTGAGACTCTCGTCATTGTACAGCCTTTTAGCGCGAGCCTTTGATCTGAAAGAAAAAAAATAAAATCCATTTCATTATTCAAATGCTCCATTAGTGGTGCTCACCCTCGACTCAGTGCGGCTGCTAATGCAATTTTTCTGATTCAATAATGGAAAATGCTTTTCCAACTTCAATTTTATTACTTTCCACTACGGAAAAACAAGCAGAAAGTGTAAACACTCCGTCACTCCCGCAACTGTGCAAAGAGAGGGAGGAATGTTCAGTTATAAGAAGGCTGTTTAAATAATTCATCTAAATTCTCGTGCAGTTGTGAAAATTTTACGGGGTAAGGTGCACTCCACTGGAAAAGGGCTTGAGATCATTTTGTCTGGAAGACATTCAGACATTTGTGTGACACGCGTCGAAATTTTTGGTTGAATAAAAAACCAGTGAATATGAAAATTATTATTATGAAGGAAATGGGGTATCAATGTTTGAAAATATTGAGCCATACTTGCACAGGAGAATGCCTAGAAGACATGCGGATGCTGTGAGTATGCCGGTGCCAGCAGCAACGGCAAGCCACATGCCAGGGGGTAAGAGACCGAGTAATCTTGCACCGCTGCCACAATTTGCCTCGTCATATCCCGAGGGGCAGTGAATTCTGCCATCGCACCAGAGACTCGGTGCAATGCAAGCACCAATCTCGGGACACGTATGAAGGCAATCACCAGTGCCAATGGTTTCATTATCACTGGCACGTCCTGGAAGACGTAACTGTCTGCGAAGTGCAGAACGTGTCTTTGATATTTCTAGCCACGAGGCAGCAGCCTGTCCTGGCTCTCTCGCCACAAAATCAATGAGCAGCGCTGCTGGACGCGCCGGTGACAACCACCTCTCATCAGAATTGCCAGCTGTCAGTAGCCATTCCTCGGAGAATACGTGCACCGTGTAATCACGCGCCCCAGGTTCTGCTGGACAGACAACTTTAAGTAATTTAGCTGGCCAGCCGGAGTACAGGAGAATTCTGTTTGATGTTGGACACTTTGGCGTTGATTCTGATGTCTCTGGTGGCTGTTGATGCTGGGGTGATGACGATTGGGTCGTTGAACTCAGTGGTGATGGGGTTGGTGGGGGCTCCAGAGGCAAAAACCAACCCCAAGTCAGGACAAACAGCGAACGATTGTCTCTCGCTTCCACCAGCCATGGCATACCCTCGCAGTAGATGTCTGGACGCGACAGCGGTGGCACCACGAATCTCAATTCACCACCTGTGACGAATTCATTTTGCAAACCATCAAATTTACATAATTATACTTGTTAGTTGATTATGCGTCGGAGCGTAGACTCAAGCCACGCTGGAATCTCGGTCCTAGCAAAATTCTCTTCACTAACGTCTGTCGACTACTCTTATTCTCTGGGTAAGCATTATTTCTATACATATTTATAAGTACTTTGGTAGCAGGAAGCCCGGATTACGGGACGTACCGATGAGTGTATAGGTAACAAGAGCTTTGTACTCTGGTTCATTGCCAAAGTGGCTTATTGATAAGCACCTTGTATCGAGTTGTATATGTTTTTGTGCAGTGAGCCGTATTACTAAAATCACACAGAAAAATTGTACCTTTCTGTTATTTGATAGAGGAAATACTTCAATTTATGGGATATCCATAGATTTTCGGATTTGGTTTATCGTTGACTCTTTCTCCCTATTTATCCTCTTCCTCTTATTATTTTACTTCGATATTCAACACATCGCGGATTTTCCGGATAATTTTCATATAAATCTTGAAGAATTGCAATTATTTTTATTGAAGAGAAATTATTTTATTGAAGAGACGATAAATCCGAGTAAATTCGAGAAATGTTACGAGTAAAATTGAGGGTATAAAATTCTTGGACTAAAGTACAAATTTCTGTAGGAATTTTTCAGTTTAAAATGTAAAATACTCTTCTGTGGGAAGACTCACCAAAAAATAGTGAATCTCCGTGAAATCGGAGGAGATAGTAAACACAGAGACATTAAAACTCTCACCTTCGCCCCTGAGCCGTTGTTTCCTCGGGCACTCAGGTACACGGATGAGTTCAAAACTCGCATAAAAGAATAGCGTCTCAAAGTCCTCGTGCGGTGCTTGCTGATTAACGACAAAAGTAATCTCAAGTGCTTTCCCCGAAGATATATGTGTCAAAGGTAGATGGGATGTATTGTCACAGAGACATGCACGTTGTAGTTTAGCATCCCTCCACGGTACCTCAAAGAGGGTCAACTTGGCATCTCGAGTGTTTGACTCAGAAAGACATCTGGGTCGTCCAGAGTGAGGATCAGGCTCGCTGATGCAGCTCGTTAAATCACCGAGTGATACATTGTGAATAGTTAAACGTACACGTTCACCAGGACCCGCCTCGATTCTATAGGCACAGGATAAATTCTTCACACCCCCACGGCCAAATAAACGAACATCCCTTGGTGATGTTATTTCACCACTCCTCACCCGCCTCCACACTCTACTGCAAACACCGTCACCCCATTGTTCACCACCTTGAAGTGTCGAAATGAATTCATACCTAGCTTGAAAATTAACGGTGCGCAACGATGTACCGAGTAACATCTCGGTGCGAATGGTAAGTGTTGGTGATACTGTCAAATAACTCTCAGCTGATGTGCAAGGTCTCGTTGATCTCGTCAAGTTTCTCAGTGCAGCGTGTGCACACAGTCTCGGTGTATCATCGCACAGTGTCGTGATGAATGTACCAGTATTTGCTGGGCCATCCCACAGTGTCATTTTTACGGAGCACTGGGGCGTACCAATTTCACTCTTCCTTAATGTGGATACATTGTCTACGGTACCACCAGTGAGATCCCTCTGGGAGTACGATGAAAAATAAAGCCATACCCGGTCACCCACTGAGCCCCTGAGATTCCAAGTGCACACTGAGCCCAATGGCAACGTGTGCTGGGGTGCACGGAGTATTCCACTTCTTCTCGTTGTCTCATTAACGTAAAAATTGCATCCCTGATCGCCCCTCGCATAATCCAATCCATCAGAATCCACATAAACAACTGGTATATCCAATTCAAGTCTGAGTGGTGATGAGCCCAGTGGAATTGGCAGTGGTGATGAGCGAAATTCAATGAGCATCGCTGGTCCACGTGCAGTTATTCTGGGAAGTGGTCCACCACAGTAAACCAATAGTATAGAATCCTCAGGCCTTGGGCCATCCCTAAAAACTAAACGATCCTTCTCCGGTGGGCAGTCCTGCCACACACTCAATTTATTCGTATGATTGCTACCATTACTGTGACCATTGTAATCCATTGTTGAATTACCAGTGGCATTGTTAAAGGATGACGATCCACTGGCAAAAGCCACAAGTATTGGTGCACCACTTGCAATATTACCAGTACCACTACCCCCTTTAACCGATATCATAGCGTGCTTGCAGGTAGGTACGAATTTTTGTCTCACCGTTATAATACAGCTGGCATTTCTCGGATACTCACCCGGATAATTTGGACTCTGCACGCGGCACTGTTTCTTGTGGCATTCATAGAAATTACGTGAGCAGTATGTACCGGGTACTGGTGATCCACGTTCAATAGTCAATCCTGGTTGTCCAAGTCTCGCAACGGCCTCATTACGGGATAAAAAACGATACCTGAGGCGAAATTCAAATGGCACTGATGATGGCGCATGAAAGAGTCTTATTGATGCTGTTACTGTGCTTGTTTCGCTGTAGTATGTGGCACGTCCCTCACTAGCACCACACCAGGAGCCACCGGTGAAGGGACGACCGAGATCTGACAGCTGGAGAGAGCCCTCCGGGCAACTTGCGTACACCCCATCGTCATCGTCATCACCATCTGTTGTCTCTAGTCGACCGATGCTGAAGGCATCCCAGAAGAGTTGTACCAGCTCACCGTGGCTCTCTCCACCAGCTGTGAATGTCAAGTGGCATAAAAATGGTAAGCGTCCCTCGGTTGGACGTGCCAACTCCAATTCATAGGTTCTACCCTCGCGACCATGATAAGTACGATTGCACGGGGTGCACAGTGCGGGCTCATCACTCCCATCACCGCAGTCATCGTTTCCATTGCAGTATGCATCCTGGGGCACGCATCTACCATCACGACACGCTAATTCAGCGAGATCACACTGGGCCGATACCATTGGCACAACAATTCCCAGGATTCCCATCAATATTCCAATGTTTAATGATAAATCATTGATACGTCTCCTTCGGCGTTTTCTACGCCTCCACTCCGCCCTCGGACCGTCCTTCCTCTTCATCCCCTGTCGGAATTAAATGCATGAGTTATTACTGTAGCTCTTCACTACTTGGTCTCTCTTTTTTTTTTTCATCAGTCCAGAAAAACTCGGGATGCCAATTACCCGAAGGTCAACAGTTGCTAATCCTGTCGCATTATTACACCCAGTGGTTAGCGTTTATTATTAATAATTGTGTCACTCTCTCATTCTGATTGAGAATTCGAAAAAAAAGGAGAAAAAAAATCCCCATGGAATTGGGTGGAGAGGACGAGTTGGAATAAAGTCGTATGGAGTGATGGCAAATTGAATTGAACGCGGGTCTCCCGTAATTGAATTGATTGGTACATATGCACGTGTGAAGTGTACGAAGTAGTAGTGCATCGACAAATACCGACACACGTGCAGCGAAGGGTAAAGCCACGCGACGGTGCAAATACCCGTGAATAAATAATCAACACGCGACGTGATTCGACACCTGCTACTTAGCTGTAAGGAGTATTAACAGTATATTGTCAGCCGAATAATCTCCGATGATTTGAGGTATAAAATATATAAAAACGGAGTAAAACGTCAGATAATAAACTAAACTTCAATAAATCGTTGAATTCCATCACCAGCAAACGTCCGATTCACAAATTCCCACTTAAACAACTGCGTAACCCACAGTCAGCTGTAAATGTTACAAGGGCGATAAAAAGGGTACGATATTTGCACATTTGATTTACCATGATTGGCGGTGGGCGTTATTCTCATCACACCGTAGTAATACGATTATGAACGGTGACACAGTCCCTGTCACTTATGCACAACCACATTAGTCTCACTCTCGACATTACCATCCCCATCATCATCATCCCCATTATTTCTGAATGCCGAATGATTATCACAGGTCGTGCACACTAGCGGCCGCAGCATCCGTACAACTGTGTCCCACCCCTCTAAAATCCAGTGCAAATAAATGATTTGAGAAAAAAAAAAATTTAAGATAGAGAGAGAGAGAGAGAGACAGAGAGAAACACCTACAGTTGAACTAAGGGTGAGAAAAAAATACGTTAAATACGAGAGAAGGGTGAGAGACTAGCGCAACCACCACCAGCCAACTCTAGTTCGTCACTACCCGGCTGACTCTCTACCGTTTTCCTCCCGTTTGCCCCCTCCTCGTTTTATCCCTCTACCATCCCTCTATCATCCCTCGATCCCCACCCCTTGGCGATAGCCCTGATCCTTTTCTCTCTTCCCTCTGCACGTCTTTCTCGCACTCCCCTTGCATCCAACCACTTCTACGACCTCAGCCAACTTGACCGCCGCCTCAATGAGACAAGTACATCCCCCTTCTCAATTCCTCTCACCCCCTTTCACCCCTTTCGTTCGTATTTTCACCGATTCCCCTTCCTAGTTAACATTCTCATCAAATAAACCTCCATCCCTTCCCTATGGCATGCAGATCTCAACAAATTCGTTCCTACCACCTTTCGAGGGCCATGTATTTTTCACCAACCCCCTCTCAATCATCCCCTACTCTCACCCCCAGTGTGCGCGTATTTGCTACCATTGGTGTGCGCAAAATTCCGATGTATATTCACTTGTTTACTGTATCCAGCCAATTTTTATATATCTCTGGGTATTTTTTGTTGGGTCCATTCGTCCATTTCCACTGGAGACAGTGTCCAGTGGAAATAGAGCATTGTTCTCGACTCACTACCCCGTATGCTCTTCACGTACACTCAATTTTTATTGCTGTCGTTCTTGATTTTTTTTTATCCTCCCCCTCTCTACTACCCCTTTTTGCTCGTACTGCACCTCGTGCACGTTTTTCCAGGCATCGTTTCGCTGGAGTTGGCGTGTAACGAGGACGCAGATGGTTGCGCCAGTGCCTCGTGGACGAGGACTAGGCCGGGTGTCTCGAGCTTGCCTCTGGCCGCGATAGAATCGATCCGCGTATATGTATCTCTCATCTCTCTCACACACCGCGGCTTTTACCAATCGTATATATAATGTCAAAATACATTGTACATGTCTGAGAACTATTGCAACTTCGCCTCTTACCTAGGAGTACTGATACTTGATGGAATTTCAGAGTCGCACTCGAGTTTTGCCCTCTTCCATTTCCGTTTCAACCCCTCAAAGGCTCTCTATGCCCATGGGAAAAGATTTCTACGATTCAATCTGTCCTCATCCTTCCCCTCGCCCTTTTTTTTCCCTTTCGGCCCTTTTTCTTACTTTGCTTTTATTTTTATTTTCCGACTTGTGGCTCACGCATTCCAGCTTTGGAAAAATCTTTTCACATCCGCGCGGTTTGTTTGCGCAGGGGAATCACGAGGGTGAGTTCGTAAAAGGAGTAAAAAAGATAATGAAAAACGGGAGAATAGGCTGGGAATGGACAGGGAATTTGTGAAACATTAAGCATTGAATCTGTTGTTACTGCATGTTTATTATTCTTAAATCGTTACAATACTATTCATAATAAATATTCTCCCAGCGCACGTCAAGGATTTTAATTTTATACAATATCTACCTGCATAACGTGGATGCATGCTACAATTGCTCGAAATCCGAGGGGAATACAAACACTGACGATAACACATTCGCTCAAATATTTACAATGCAACGAGTCGCAAAAAAAAATAATGGATGGGATGGAAAAAATACGAGGAACAGAGAACACGTCGTCTGAATTTCCGGCGTTGTAAACCATGAAATGCCAAATAAAAACTTCAGTCTTGTCTATCAAACGACGCATGCATAAACATAATAGCAAATGAGTGAAATTAAAGAATAAGAATTTATGAGATTGAGTGATGTCCTTTCAGAATGCATATCGTGTTCTGACGTCCTCAAGTTTTTTCGAAACTTCGGATGACGTTCTCTCGAGATCCCCGGCGATGCTTTTTTGCTTGGATGGTTCGATGGAATTGAATTGCTCACAGAGATCACCATCGATGACATTTTTTACTGGATAATAATACGATCTGAAGGACAGATGATCCCTGCCACATAAAGGTGGATGCTCAGATCTCATGTGCATCTCGAGATGCTGAAAGAAATCGTGATCCTCGTGGCTAGTGAATGGGACAAGTACTCCAACAGTTCCACTGAGGGTGGTGTAAACGAGACTCTCCGAGCCACCAGGTATTAGTGTAGCTTTCTGCAGTGACATAACTGTCTCTCCAATGTGAAAAGAAGCAACAGTATCAGCTTTCTGGCTAGCCCCATTGAGAAGACCACGATCCCAGAGTGCCTTATTCCCAGTTGGATCCTCATCAACATCATCATTAATGCCACTGGCAAGCCTCACAACCGCAATATTACCAAATTTATCAGCAGTTGCCACTGTATCATAATCCAATACACAAGTAGTCGTTATCCATCTTGGATGTGTGTCATCGGCAAATACAATTAATTGATTCTCTTGTCGTTTGTATCTGACAGCATACACGGACTCCTGTACATCACTAACGTAAATCCTCTGTCCCACAGCATTTATCGATACAACAGCATTTGGTATGTGCTTATTCTCACATTTACGCAGAAGTTTCTTTTTTCCCATATCGTACAATCGTAGCATTCTACCCACTCCTACGAGTACACGACCCTGATACGAGCATATCGCCAATGGAACTTCGTCAACTGGCGTTTTGTGAAGCAGTTCAATGCTTGTGCCCTCAGGATTGACTCTGCAACAATACACATCGTTCAATAAAATTGTTAAAATGCGATTTCAATGGGAGAAAACTAGACTGTGTAACTCAGTACTGCAGGTATATCATCAATTTCGACAGTTCATGTGATATTGTCATCATTGGAGTTTTATTTGATCAATCCTATCAGAGTTAGTTTCAAACTTTTCAATGATTGAAAACGAATTTCAATTTTCAACAATAGCGGTCCACTCCATTGAAAATTTCCTGCTAAATTCTCAAACTTTTTCTCCCTACAACCCAGAGTGATTGCAGGTTTTTACAATAAGCCCGACACCACCCCTCTTTATTGTCCAAAAAAAATAAAAGGCATTCATAAAAAGCCTGAGCATTACCCAGAAGGCTTATATTATTATAGAGCCCTATTAACGCTCAAATAAAAATAAAAAATTTGGTCAAACTCACTTGTATGTGTACAAAAATCCTCCATTACTAATTCTGGGGTTGAGCTGGTAGTCCTTAGCAACCCCCACAATGAGGAACAATTGATCCCCTTGATTGGCGAATTTAACCATAGCCAGGCAAAGTGCAGCATAATTCTGCTCCAATCGATGTACCTCAAAGGTGTCCCCAGTGGTAGGTGCCATGATTTTAATGAGAGAAGCCCATAATCCAGGACCAGCCCTCGGTGCTCCAAAAATGGCCTCGTTGGGCTCTTCAGAGAGAAAAGCCTCGGCAAGTTCCCTGGCGACAGCTGCCTCCTCGGCCCCAGCAGCCTCCTGCATCTCCTCAGCCATTTGCAAGCGCCTCTGCTTCTTAGTCTCCTCAGTATAAGCATTGTGCTCAGTCTCAAGGACAACCAGATGAGCCGAATCATTGTGAATGGCAAACTTTCTCGGTGTATATTCAAGTGGAAAGCTCACTTGATTGAACACAGCCCCTAACTTTTCGAGTGCTAAAATTCTCAACGTATTCGTTGATATAGCAACTATGCCCTCGGGACACTGCTCTGAACTAAAACCAGAGGCAAATTCAAGACTCTCGTATGATAATGGAGTCAAGTGAAAACGATTCTGATAATAATAACTCAGCCATGACCTGCTGCTCATCGCCAACACCGCTTGATTACCCTGCATACGTATGCGAAATAGTTTAACTGGTCTTGAGCCGAGATATCTTGTTCTCGTGTCAGCCAAGTCACCTGATATTGGATCGAGCACTGTTCTCAGAAGTACTCCATTCTGGAGGCCAATATTTAAGTAGAGGCTTGTTTGTTGTTGTGGTGATTCCTCGTCGGAGTTCCCCACGTCTTTGGCTGCTCCCATTTCAACAATGCAGAGACTCTCAGCGGCTGCTGGAAGTGCTTGCATACTTCTTGGTGCCAAGCAGTCCGACGGATCCAGTGAAATTATTCTCACAGTGTTATCTTGCAAACCCACAGCCAAAAACCAGGAACGCTGTTCCCCACTTGCCACATTCCCCAGAGCCATGCACATCACTTCGGATGGCATTTTTTTTCTCTCTGTGTACTCATTCAAATGTCCTGCCTGTAATACATAGTTAAAAGGGTAATGAACTCATCTTGTTGGGTAACAGAGTGGAGTAATTGTAAGGCTCCATTATCACAAGCCCGAGAGGGATTCTCATGGCTGAGTGAGTGATCATCGAGCCCAAAGTGGCTCTTCGCATTCTTTACGTCTCGGGGACTATTCATACCCTGGGGAGGGTAACTTCACCGAGAGAACAATAAATGCGGTATTTTCTTCGTTTTATTCAACCTTTTTTCGTGCAACTATCAAAAGATACAATGGAAGGCTATTTCTTACCGGATCCATTTCAAAGTAGACCAATTCTCCACCCGTCAGAGCGATTACAACTTGTCGCTGATTCACGGCGCATTTAACTATCGTTTTTTTACCAGGTGCTTTCCACTCGTTGACACGCTTGTCGGCACGAATGTGACGGATACCATCGGGGTAAACCTTAAAAGGGTAATTTAATAGATATGTTAGCTTTGGTCATGTAAATCTGCTTCTCTATTTTGTTTTTGTGTCCCAGTTCATTCATAGTTGCTTTTCCTTTTGGGAGACTTTTTTTTTTTATTGCTGAGAGAAGACTCGAACATAATCTGAATTTTTTATCAGAATACTATCGATTTCCCTCCGTAAAATGAATTCAATAATTCCGATCCTTTGAACGGTGAGGAGCATTGACAAAGAATTTTTTATGAATGAATACGAGACAATAATCTCATCATATCGCTCCATTTGCTGAATATAAAATCCTATTATCCTGAATTATTGATGTGTAAGAGCCATTTTACCAGGAGTATTGTAATGATAGGGACAATGCTCCAACGATGCGGAAACTCTAGTTATTATCGCACATAAAAGCGACCGACACGTGGATTACGCCAGGTGCCGGAGATACCGCAGTGCAACAATAGCTAATTAAATTGAATTAATCAGACTAACTCACCTGCACAAGGGCATCTTCACCGAGTGCTGAGCAACTAAGAGTTGGCGTTGTGCCGAGAAATCCAGAGTCCGTAACTTCCTCAACAGTTTCACCAATGCTAAGCACTAGTGTTGCATTGACGAATGACACTATGATGTATGCATCATACTCCTCTGTAACCGAAATCACACGAATTGTCTAGATTGCTAGGATTTTTAATGATTTATTGCGGGCTTTATTGCCCTTGGTATTTTAGATTCAACAGCAATTGGTTGATTGATGAGTCTGCGTTAAGCTATTGCTTTTCTCTCGTTTATTTGAGGAGAATTATTTTTTTGTCGACTGTCCCACGAGAGTTTCTTACCTCTTGGACTGTCTGGATTTGGAGCCATCAACCGTTAGCACGCTGGCAGCCTGAAAGAGATAACTGGTGTTTGATAAGAGTGTATCAAGCCACCAGGTTTGTTACTATCCTCTTTTTAAGTTTTAAGTACTAATTTATCGGCCTTTCAATTCGATAATTCCAGTGAATTCTCTATTGATTTTTCACGCGGATGAACAGATTTTCCTCAAAATTTGGTGTTAAATTTTTCCAATAATCGATACGACTTGAAGAGACTTAATGAAAAAATGGTTTTGAATCTCACGGAAAGTTATGAAAATTCAAGCGATTGTTATCTCATAATCCTGCTTCATTATAAATTCGGTTCAGTCTTCAGAATTAATTAAGTCTGAGTAGTCTTCAAAATTTCCATATTGGTAGCGCATGAGAAACTTCAATTTCCTTGAATTTTCACCATGAACCGTCATGAATAATTTCATCTCTAAAATAATTCACTGGTAAATCCCCGAGAATTAGCATGCAATCGTCAATAAAATTCCAATGAATTTCAAATATAGCAGATTCTTTAGATCGCAGTATGATAATTCGGTTATATTTTTCTCTTGCTGATGGGATTATTCTTCAACGAGGGCGTATGAAACCACTAAGTCTTGATGGAGATGAATAAAAATAAAATGTCGTGACTTAAAAAATATAACTAACCGTCAACTCTTCTCTTCACCGTCCACACAGCATTGGGATTACCGGGAAGTTCACTCACAGCCATTTCGGATACTTCCAGTCCGTGTCTCAACACTCGGAGAGTTGATCTGGGTCCTCTACCACAGGCTATATATAGCTGTGGAGTGTCCTCGTTTGCCAAATCTGCAACCTACATTCAAATTTCTATTCAGCCTCAATTTTTTATTAATATTTTCCACGGTTGAAAGGAAGGTGAAGGAAAATAGAGAGTTGTAGAGATCGAGAAATGTTATTTTTCGAGTTCACTTCGATTTGCAAAGGATGACACAAATCAAAGGCGACGAAGATTATTTAATCTCGCATCGATTCACAGAGGAGCTATAATTGATATTATTGAGCCTCTACTTGTCGATGCACCACAAGTTTCCAAGGAGTGAAGAGGTTTACCTGACAAGCCAGAATGGGAGACAAGCTGTCCATCTCGTCGACAAGTACTAAATTCCTGAGTGGTCTTGGGGCAAAAAAGAAAGTGTCTCCCTCCTCGAGAGGCATGGCCGAGCTGAATTCAGGCTCGTCATCGTCATCCCCAAGATGTGCAATCTGGTACAAATAATGATTTCCAAATTCCGAAGCGACGAACAAAAAACCAGTCTTGAGAACGCACATACTGTTGGCCACAGGTACAGTGTCGAAGTACTTGAGTTTAATTTCAGTGACCATGTCCTCGTCAGTCTCCAGGGTGATTTTAAAGATGTCACCCTGCTCTGTCTGAGCCAGGAAGAAGAACATACTCTTGGTTTTATGTGTGGCGGAGCACACGAAGATCATGCCTCTCTCTGGATCGTCCAGGTCGTTTCTCCTCCTTGGGATGGGGCAACGAATATCGTGCTGGTCACCCAAATTCTTGTAGGTGAGGTAGTTCTCGGAGCAGATGAGAACTCCACTAGGGCCGTCATTTCCTCCAGGCACCGACACGAGGAAGTTTGCGTGCTCCTCCAGGGGTTCACTGTACTTCCTCACAACGTGGTTCAACCCGAGGTCAAGCTCGTAGAGTGTCAAAGTCTGCTGCGTTTTCACTGCAGCGTCACCAGTTGGATCACTGTCTGCCTCCTCGTAATCTATTTCCAGACATGCAAACATCGGATTTTCAAAGCCAACGTCAACACCCACGGTGTGATAGACCAGGGTGTTGCTCTTGTGGGCTTCCAGGGGTGATGAAATAGTCAGACGAGCCTCTGGGTCTCTGTTCAGAATGTACACGAGTTTCTGCTTCTCAATGGCACCTGAAAATCCGAGAAATCCAATCGCATTAACTCATTTGATTATTTAAGTCGTAAGTTAAAGATTTTTTTAGCAAAATTATTCAGTATCTGATGTGTATAATCAATGTGATTCAGGTGAAACACGGACAGAATAAATCATCATGAAATTGTTAATCGTTTAATCGCTGTGTTTTGAAAAAGGGAAAAATACGAGCGAAATCGATATCATTGTACTCTAATTGAATTTATTCTAATTAATTTATACTCGAAAAATATTTACCTATCATAACAGCACGTCCCTTGGGGTCGATGGCAAGGTATTGCCCAGGAACAATTCTCCTGCAGCCACTCTTACCAAAAGTCTCCTGGTGCACCTTCTCGAATATATTTTTCGCTGGGATGTACTCGAGGATGACGATTCGCCCAGAGTCCGAGCCAACTACAATGTAATCTTTGGTACCCCCAGTCAAACGAAATGCCATCAACGATCGAATTATCCCAAATACCTCGACGGTGAGGACTGTGTGGACTTTGCCGGTGGTCGGATCCGGGCGCAGGAGCTCCAAGGATTTTCCCCTGGAGACCAGAATCTCCTGCATTTTACTCCCGGAGAAGTTTCCATGGACTGCATGGGTAATGCCTGTGGCACGCTGGAGGGTCAAATTGTACAAGTACATCCTGAGTTGCGATTATAGTCTTTTCAGTTCATTCAATTATGCAAGCGCTGCGCACTCCCCTGCTGGGATGCGCTAGACTGGCATGGCGTCCCTGAAGCCGCTGCAGAATTACATTTTTTTTTTAATATTACAATTTTGATAAACTTTCGGACAGGGGGCTCGAAAAATTACAAAGGGAAAGATGAGTTTAATCAAACAGGGAGAATCGAGCGAAATTACGTGGCATTGATTGGGTATTCGTATCAATCGTATCAGTCGTATGTTTCATCGCTATTTGTATCTTTGTTTTTTTTTCATGGAGAATTGAGTTTTCAGGTTAATATTGGGACGAGCATGGAGGAGGGAAACTGATGGAGAATATTTTACCTCATTGACGAAGGCTGAGACAACACCGTCGTCGATGTTTCTGGATTACTTCGGTGATGAGTGAATTTTATCTTCCAGAACGATTTGCGTCCTGTGCCGGTCAAGACACTCCGTGAAATGGTAGATGGGTGGTAAAACGAAGCGATTGGACGCGTCCCGGAAATGGGTCGTTCCTTGTTGCGTAGTAACCAACGAGAATAAAATAAGGGAGAGGTGCACCCACTGGCATTGTAGTACCTCACCCCGAGAGGTGGAGGGCGCAACACGCAATGCTGGGGTGTTCATCAAGTCGAGGGGGTGAATTTTATTTTCTACGATGTGAATGCTTTTTATTTTTTATTTGTTTCACTGAAATTTAACCGACTATAGAACGAGCGGAAGGGGGAAGCCACATCCTGTGGAGTTTCGAATAAAAAAAATATTCAATGTATTAAAGATATACTACTAATGAAATTAAATTTCAGAATGAGTGCGTTGTCTAATTGGTAACGTGTTTGACTTGCACGCCGATGGCTAGGGTTCGATCCTAGCACGATTCATTTTTTTTTTTCAAAATAATTCCAATTTTTTTTTATAAATGATTAATCAATCGAAATATCGTTTAAGAACTGAATACCTCCTCGACGTTCATGTTCCCCTGATACTTTTTCGAAAATTTCGAATTTTCCAATTACAGGGTTCTCACATTATCAGTAAAATGCTGACAGTCGGTAATGCAAGTCCCTGAAATACCAACAGCTGGCAATGTGGGTTCTTAGTATGTCGACAAATGGCAAAAAAGATCGAGTAAAAAAGTATAAGTATAGAAATTAAAAAAATCGAAATTTTAAATACGATGCTTTTTTAAAATATATACTACTAATGAAATTAAATTATTATAATGAGCGCGTTGTCCTATCGGTAACGTGCTTGGCTGCCACGCCGACGGCTAGGGTTCGATTCCTAGCCGTCAATCTTTTTTTTTTTAAATAATTCCTATTTTTTTGTTTATAAATGGCTATTCAGTCGAAATATCGTTTAAAAATTGAATACCTCCTCGATTCTCATCTTCCCCTGATATTTTTTCGAAAATTTCGAATTTTTCAATTTCAGTAAATACCCCCTCGATGTTCATGTTACTCTGATATTTTTTCAAAAATTTCGAATTTTTCGATTTCAGTGAATACCTACTCGACGTTCATGTTCCCCTGATACTTTTTCAAAAATTTCGAATTTTTCAGTTTCAATGAATACCTCTTCGACGTTCATGTTCATCGGATACTTTTTCAAAAATTTCGAATTTTTCGATTTCAGTGAATAGCTCCTCGACGTTTATGTTCTCCTGATACTTTTTCAAAAATTTCGAATTTTTCACTCCAGTGAATATCTCCTCGACGTTCATGT